TTTGTCAGCTCTCCCTGCCCCCCCTTTTTTTTTCTGGGCCACTGTCTTCCCCAAATCCCCACAAGACACCTCTGTGTTCTTTCACTCCCACCCAACTTAAATGTTGGTACTCTCCATGGTTCTGACCCGAGCCTCCAGCCTCTTTAATCACTCTAAAGCTGCACTGTCCAACAGAGTAGCCAGACGTGGCTATTGAGCACCTGAAAGTGGCTAGTCGGAGTTGAAATGTGCTATAAGTGTTAAATACACGTAGGATTTCAAAGGCATAACATGAAAAATAGTGAAAAATAAAATCATTAATAAGAGTTTTATATTGCTTATATGTTGCAATGATAATATTTGGGGTACACTGGGTTAAGTAAAATCTGTTATTACTTCCTTAGTGTGGCTACTAGAAAATTTTAAATGACAAATGTGGCTCACTGTATATTTCCAGTGGACAGTGCAGCTCCAGACAGTGATGCTGTTGTCACCTCAGTCCTGTCCGCTTGCCCCACAGAACTGCTTACTGTCCCCAGAACATTTCACATCATTTTATGCCTCATACTCTCTCCTTTTCCAGAACTTTCATCCCCCTCTTTCCTGCTAGATTAAATATGATTCATACATTTTTGTTCAGAGCAAATACCTCCACTACTATATAAAACTTTCCCAATTCCTTAAGGTAGAATTAAACATTTCTGCCTCAGAGTCTTACATGCTCTCTTAATACCTTTTTTATAGCTAATTCACATGCTTATATTTTGTTTTATATTCGTTTGCCTCTCCAGCCAGATTCTAAGTGTCTGCAAAGTGCAGGTGCAACCTGATTTATGTCTATAATTATGTTGGGGGTACTGGGTACCAGGTTGGTGCTCAATGAAAGTCTGGTGAATAACAATTGCTCTACACATATTATACAGCTACCATGTGACTGGTTATGACTTAGATGTTTTAAGCCAATATTTAATATCCTCTCAACAATGCTGCAAGGTAGATAAAATGATCCTCATTTTGCATGTGGGGATCTTGCAAAAGCTCAAACTTAGTAAATTATAGAACCAGAATTCAACTACACTGACTGAATGAAAAAGCCATGGTTTTTTTTCCTGTGATACCATGCATACTGAAAAATGAATTTTAAAATGGAGATTATATTCCTATATCATAAAATAGGAAAAAACACCAATTTCCTAAGGCTGTTAGAAGATTAAATGCGATAATCTATATGAAGTGTCAGGGCAGTGCTTGAAAGCAGTAGGTTTTATTAAACATTGGCTTTCTCCCATCTTGAGGTCCATAGCATAGGCATCCTTAATTTCTGAGAAGGATCAAAGTGGTTTACCTAACTCCTCGATGCCCCTCACATGCTTACAACTCATGTTCACTTTCATTCACACTCATCCAAAGGTCATGAGACACAGACTTCTCTGGGGCTATCGACTTTAACCCAGTCCTCTTTGTATATCCCCCTGATGTTTAAAGAAAGTGGAGTAGAGAAATAATAAGTAGTACTGAGGGTATTCAATCTGTGGGTGTGTTTGTTGGTGAGGATTAGGGCAGGAATAATAGCAAAAAAGGAATCAAGCCTGGCGTCTTTCAAGGCTATGTTCCCTTGGTGAATTCCAGGAAAATCATTTGGAATAGAGTGCTGACTCTTTTCTTCCTGTTCTGTCTTATCCAGCTATGGTATTTTATAATCAGAACCACTTTCTTTACCATGTCAGGAATCTCTGTAGGAAAGGGAAAGGGGAAGTGTGACAGGGATAGACATTAATTGTGGACCAATACTGTTCTGCAGGTCCTAGGTTGAAATGCAAGCCTCCTGGGAAATAAATTTAAGCAGGTAAAGTGTGAAGATATGTTGCTATGGGGCTGTGTTCAGGTAAGGGAAAGTGGCCCCTCTATAACCTCAGATCCCTGTAATTTCCCTGAAAAAGCAATATTAGGAAGTCTCTCAGTTGCTGTTGGTAGGGGACCAAGGCTAAAGGGAGCTCATGCGCTCAAGGGTAATATAGTTCTTTATCCTCTTGGCAAGTTAACAGCAGAACCAGTGCCTTGTCCAGAGTTGGGAAACTTTCTCACCAACCTGTGCTCTTGTTTGTTTTAGATCAAACATAGGGACAAGTACACAGTAGGGCAGAGCTTCCACTATAAAACACTCAAATTCTCCTCCAAATACATAAGATATATAAAAGCCTTCTGATCCATTACAGAACCAAACTACATACCAAAGGGCAGGGAATGAAGAGGATAGGGAACTTAGAGCCTTATACCATTATTATTATTATTATTATCATTATCATTATTTTAATGGTGTGTTTTACCTCTCAAACTAGCCCTTTGAGTTTAGGGCCTTTGTTTTAAACTTCTCTGTATTTATTACCATCCACATAGCAAGTACTTGGTGTTCCTTTGCTAAGTGATGGAAACATTCACCCTTATGCTGTGTAATGGACAAGGAGATTCCAGCTTGAATGGAGAGCACAAGAAGTTATAAGGAAAGATTCTTTGAAGTTAAAATTTGGAATCTTTAGGAAACTGAATATTCTCTAGCACTTAAACTTGAGATTAAGAAAACAACTTCAAATTTGGGGAGAAATTTTATATTCTCCCCAAAGAGAGAATATTTGTCTGATATTATACAGAGACAAATCCCATGGCCAAGAACATGTAAAAGATAAGAATGGCAATTACTTGGCAGCTCCAGAAAATTTAACCTATATTAAAAGATAACTAGAACCTTGAATTTTAAAGGGAAAAATTCAGGTTGATTTATCTGCCAGATTGACTTGTACTCAAAAGGATAAACAGAAGGTACTGTTCAATTCAATCCACTGAAATGCCAAAGCATCATGAACTCTTACAATCAACTGATTTTGAGACAGGTTTTCTTTGTTTGATTCATCTTGAGCCTCGACATATCTTTTAGGGAGGTGATTTAACTATGACCCTTCTCCTTTCTCTTCTGTTCCCCTTTGCATTTGGCTAAAGTCAACAGACTTCTTTCAAGTAATGCCTCTACCATATCAATAGAACATTGCTCTAGTTACTAAGAGTCCCCTCCAAAATCACAAGCCTCTGGGGAGAATTGAGGCTTTAGCTTAGTAAAAATTCCTTTGTTCCCCTCAACCTGGGAGAAGGTTTGCCTCCACTTCCTGTCTGTTGGCTTATAAAAGGATGAAGAGAAGAGAAAAGTCTGTAAATTTAGTGAAATTTTAAATAGCAAGTATTCATTAACTCCAACACAAGCATACTTTGAAATTTTTCTTAACATAAATTAGAGGTACATGCAGGTATGTAAAGAGAAAGAAAAATACCATATGATATCACTTATATGTGGAATCTAAAACATGACACAAATGAACATATCTATGAAACAGATACAGACTCAAAGACATACAGAACAGACTTGTGGTTGCCAAGGGGGAGGGGGGTGGCAGAGGGATGGATTGGGAGTTTGGAGTTAGCGGATGCAAACTATTATAAACTATTATATACAGAATGGATAAACAAGAAAGTCCTACTGTATAGCACATGGAACTATATTCACTATATACTATCCTGTGATAAACCATAATGAAAAAGAATATATATATGTGTAACTGAGTCACTTTGAGGTACAGCAGAAATTAACACAACATTGTCAATCAACTATACTTCAATAGAATTCTAAAAAAATAACAATAAAAAAACCGAAGGAAACACACCGAAAATTAACAGTTGTTATAGATAGATAATGTAAAATTTTCTTTGTATGCTTTTCAATATATGGCAAATTTTCTACAGTGAAGATACATTATTTTGATAAACAGAAAAAATTAGCATTATAAAAAAGGAAATGGTAATCAATAGCCACTCTCCTTTCCTCTATCAACATGCCAAAGGCCCAGAAGCTTGAGAGACCTAAAGACCCATATCCCTGTGGGTGATACTGAGGTGTGAGTTTGTGCAGGCCAGGTAACCCCTCTGGGACTCAGGTTCCTCACCTGTGAAATGCAGGAGTTTGAGTGCCATGGTCTCAGTTCTATAATGCCTGAATTCTATGATGGGCCTGCCACATCATAGACTATATTAACTGAAAATGCTTCTGGTTTCTAGTAACAAACATCTCGACTAATAGTGGCTTAAATCATAAGAACGCTTCTTGTTGAGTAAACAGAATGTTTGAAGGTAGGTAGTCTAGGACTGGATCAGGAGCTCAGTGAGGCTGTCTAGGAGCCAGGCTCTTTTAAGTTTTTTCTGCATCATCCTCTTCAACTGTTGGCATTCATCTGAGAGACTGTTGCCTCATGGTTACAAGATAGCTGTCACATCTCCAAGTAGGAACAAAGAAGCAGAGGCAAAAGTTTCTCTTTGCATCCAGTAAGGTCCCCACATCTCATTTATCAAAACTGAGTCGAAGGACTAACCTAGATTAATCAGTGGCAAAGGGAAAGATTCTACCCTTGTTTTAGACGGATTATCATTCATCCTACATATCTGAGGGCGAAGAATAGTTGCCCACTGACCTGAACAGGTCAGAGTTCTAACAGCAGAGAAGAAAGAAGGGAGAGGATGATCACTGGGTAGAAAACAACTGTGTCTGCCAGAAGCACTTAATAAAGATGTATTGAACAAATGAGTGAGGGCCACGTTATGACTTTCATGGATCCTAAAAACTTTTGCCTTTCTAGGTACTTTCCACCATAAAAATGTTTAAAATTATATTTTACAACTGAGTTGGTATAAAGAAAAATGTAATCCAGACTGTATTCATTATTATATACACTATTATTATGTTTATTTTTTATTCTGATTTTAAAAAGGAGACATTTTCATGAACCCTAGATACTGGGTCATGGCTAAGTCCACCCTGGGTCTGTGCTGTCTGTCCTACTGGATGGTAAACACTTGAGGGTGGAGACTGTGTGCTAGGTTTTGTTGATGCCCTCAAAGCCCCTATCACATCACTATATGTCTAAGAGCTGCTCAACAAATACTATGGAGTTGACCTAACATATCACTCTTTCTTCCTCTAGGGTGAACCTGGTCCCCCTGGTCCTCCAGGAGCCCCTGGTATTGGACAGCCAGGTATTAAGGTAAAGATACTGGCCTCTCGGGCCATTGATGACTACTGAATTTATTGTAGGGCTGGGGGAGCTGTGATTTGAACTCTGCTCAGTGTTACCCTCATGGATACAAGGAAGCTGTCTGTATGAGTTAATTACAGGCTGGATGCTTGGACACTGCAATGCCCTGGTCAGGGGCAGTTACCACAAGAATACTCTATGTATTTTTTGATTTGGTTGGAATGAAAATTTTGCTTGTCTCCAAATACCCACCCTCTTGCCAACATACATCTAGTTCTGTTGAGTTTTCATGGATTTTAAATGTTGGCACGCAAAAATGTTACTGGGAAGTGAAACACCTTAACGTGTCAACTATCACCTGCCCACATCAAATAAGCACAGAGGGGCAGAAACCAGAAGAACCATGACATTGAATAAGTAAATGTTGACGGAGAGGTTTGTAGGGAACTAGAAAGGACTAGAACACCCAACAACCTTGGGTGCTCTACATCGTGCAGGGTGTACTAGAGCAGAAGTGCTTGTTTTAAATGGCTTTTCTATGTCATTGGGACAATAAGACTTCGACGCGGGGCTAAACCAGAGAGCAATACAAAACAATGCACTTCGAATGTAATAAGGTGTCACCATGGAATGCATTTAGACAATAATCACATTGAGATTCCTGGGAAGGTGGAGTTTAGACTGGCAGAGTTACTGGAGAAGGGTTCTGAAGGAGAAGAAATGCGAAACAGAACAGAAAGGCGAGGTGAAATGGAACAGGGCAGGGTGGCGGGGGACGCATCCCCGGATGGCGGCGAGGGGGCAGAGAACAGCACGGGCATTGTTAACTTGGTCATTTCAGTAACCAAAAAGAGTCGTACACGGTCTGACCTGTCAATTGCTACGTAATCGTTTCTGAAAGCTGAAACTGCATTTAGACAAGAAGGAATGAGGAACGTTTGGGGGTAATTTGTTCACTTAAATTCAAGGCATTTTTCCTCCTCTAGATTTTTTTTTAATCTTTAAGAGTTTGAAAAGTTTGACAATTTTGCTATTTATCTTTGTTGAAATCTCCAGAGTATTTTGTGCTATGTGTATTCTTCATTTAAAAAAGCAAACTTTCATTCAATTATTTCTTCCTCCTAGGGGAAAGAGGCCAGGAAGGAAGAACTGGGCCTCCAGGACCGATTGGTGTTGGTGAGCTGGGCCAGACAGTGAGTAGCAAGAAATTCTAGGTGGAATTAAAAGGACAAATATAGTTCTTATGTGCTCTTTTGGGTTAGAATAAATGGTTAAACTAAGCCATCTTTATCTATTTAAGCAACAAAAGATGATAAATATATAAAGACCAGATCCAAGTGTTATTTTTCGTAACACTTGAAATAGGGATATCTATCTATCTGTTTATATTTATAGGATATGTACAACAGGCTCTCTCTTACTGTAATCTTTTGTGAGATTAATCAGTTTGTCCTAGAAGAAAGGAGTTCTCATATGTCAAAATTTCCTAGGAGATAGGAGAGCTAGATTCATACCTAATGTCTATACTTTGTAATTGACTTTCCTGTAACCATGAGAAAATCACTGAGAATAAGGACCTTGCTCATTACCTAACCCATGAGTATACTCTAAAGCTAGAATTGATCATGGTAGACAGGTAATACCTGTGTTATTTGCAGCTTCTACCTTATGTAGCTTTGATATTTACTATTGTTGGAAAAGAAAAAACAATTCTGTCAAAAGAGAGCTGGAGAGGAAATGAATAAAACATGACTGTTCTGGAATAAGAAGCTTTTTAACTTTTCAAGTAATCATTATTCTCCCAGGAAAGAACAGTAGCTGACTTGCTGGGGTACAAATAAAAACAAACGATTGTGAATAGTTGGTCACCCAACTGGGCTTTGCATTGCATAGTTCCTCACATATAATATTAACAGAAACATGTGCTTCCTTGCTGTACTCTGAGAATGAAATGGTACCATACTATCTGAGGGCTAGTCTTTTCACCAATGTCTTGATACACTAATTCAAAAAAGAGAACATCATATAAAGGAAAAATACACTGGTCTAATTATCTACTGTGTTTCCACTAACTAGATAGGTCTTTTAAAACTAAACCACTGATTGAGAGTCCGCCTGCCGATGCAGGGGACACGGGTTCGTGCCCTGGTCCGGGAAGATCCCACATGCCGCGGAGCGGCTGGGCCCGTGAGCCATGGCCGCTGAGCCTGCGCGTCCGGAGCCTGTGCTTCGCAACGGGAGAGGCCACAACAGTGAGAGGCCCGTGTACCGCAAAAAAAACCAAAAAAAAACTAAACCACTGAGAAAGAAGATTATGAGCTCCCTGCAGACACTGCTGGTTCTACACTGGAGAGGCTGGAAACCTAGAAAACCGAAATGACATCAGCTAGAAATATACAGGCCCAGATAGGCTACCATGTATAGAGGGAGTACAGCAGAGAATTTGGGAAGTTTTTGACAGAAATGAAAAAATCTTTCCACAATGATCTGAAAAAGTGGGAATAAAAGTGAGCTTCATGTTTCACTGCAAAGCCTTTATGAACTGTCCAAAAGAATCTGAGATTTTTGAAGCAAGCATAAGATCTCTTCTTTTTCTTCTACATGCCTACTTTTAACTTAATAAACTTAATAAACAGCTCTGCCTTGCTGCTGGATCCTAGGAGAGACTGCATGGCTAATCATGGGACAATACACGACCATACATGTCGAATTTTTTTTTTTTGGCTGCGTTAGGTCTTTGTTGCTGCATGCTGGCTTTCTGTAGTTGTGGCGAGCTGGGGCTACTCTTCGTTGTGGTGCGCGGGCTTCTCATTGCAGTGGCTTCTCTTGTTGCGGCGCACAGGCTCTAGGCACATGGGCTTCAGTAGTTGCAGCATGTGGGCTCAGTAGTTGTGGCACACAGGCCCTAGAGCTCGCGGGCTTCAGTAGTTGTGGCGCACGGGCTTAGTTGCTCCGTGGCATGTGGGATCTTCTGCGACCAAGGATCGAACCCGTGTCCCCTGCATTGACAGGCGGATTCTTAACCACTGCACCACCAGGGAAGTCCATGTTGAATTATTCATCATGAACTGGGTGTTATACAAGCCATCTAGGCTATGTGTCGTAGGAGTTCATCATTATTCTTGAAGATACAAATAGTTTCATGAGTAATTGGCTTAGATTCCTATGGCATCTACTCCATTGCTACTTTTCCCACAAGCCACACCTATAGCCCCATATGAACAGACAAAGGAAGAACAAAACTGAGCATGTTTTGCTAGCCTAGCTAGAAATAGACTCCTGTTCTCTTCATGAACACAGAGTATGAAGATATTTGTGTCTTAGGTGAATGCTCACCAAACCACATCCATTTTAAAGAAGGCTCTAAATAAACAAGTAGGGTGTCAATCAATCTATTTTCCCAGCTCTACTACCATCCACTCAGTTTTTTTTGTTGTTGTTGTTTTTTTGCCGTACGCGGGCCTCTCACTGTCGGGGCCTCTCCTGTTGCGGAGCACAGGTTCCAGACACGCAGGCTCAGTGGCCATGGCTCATGGGCCCAGCCGCTCTGCGGCATGTGGGATCCTACCGGACCGGGGCACAAACCCGTGTCCCCTGCATTGGCAGGCGGACTCTCAACCACTGCACCACCAGGGAAGCCCCATCCACTCAGTTTTACTGAGTGGCTGGGATGGAGGTTATACACAGGATCAACATAAACTTCCTTTTAACAAACCTAATATGGATACTACCATTGCTCAGTGACCAACCTGCAAAAGGTACATGCAAGCCTGATGTCATCTTTCTCTGGAAAGGGCCAGTCACACTGGTAGTATCAATATGTTGACTAGCTGGAACTCTTTCATAATGGAGAGGGTCATGATGATGGCCATAATTGGTGGGGGGGGCAGGCAATTAATCAAGTAAGGATTTGCCATTACTGTCCACCACTGAAGGACTTACTGAACGTCTCCATAGATCTACTATGATGTATATAAATATGGATATATTTGTGTGCTTCAAATTCATGGGTTTCATGAATCTGAGAATTCAACAATTTTGAAAGTTCTTAGTTGTTATCTCTTCAGATATTTTATTTTTCCATTCTTCATTTATTCAGAAATTCTGTTAGATGTTTAGTTGCATTTTAAGGTGATTTCCTCAAATCTAACTCATAATTCACAAATTTATCTTTTTCTGGTTATAAAATGTCCTGAAATCATATCTTGTATTTTTAACTTAATGAGTATTTTTTCAAATTCTTAAAGCTAATTTTAAAAATCTGCCTTTTTTTTTTTTCTTTTACTAATATGTTTTTGCTATACTGTCCTCTTTGCTTCTTATATTTCTATGCTTTTCTTAAGACCATTAAAAAGTATACTTCCTTTTTTGGTCTCTATTATTTTATCCTATTATTTGGCAACCTTGGGGAAGTTTACATTATATTGGCTCATTTTTACTCACTGAGAATTATTTTCTTGTATGTTTTGTACTATCACATCTGAACTCATTGTCAGCCAGGTTTAATTGTGAAAACCCAAGTGTTCTGTGTGGAGCATGCTTGAAAGAAGTGTGCATTTGCATCTCTTATGTACTCCAGGCACATCCTTGATGCTATTGTCTTGATTAAGGTGTCCCCAGACCACCAACATGGTGTCACTTGAAACTACGAACCCATACATAGCACAGGACCAGGTTAGGAGTTTTTGGGCCCATTTACAGCCCAAGTGAAGGTAGACAAGATTCTTGTCATTCATAACACTGTGTTTATGGGATGGCTTTTTTCTACCCTGCCCTTTCATTGAAGATATATAACTTTGAAGGTCCTAGCTTTATGGGGGGGATCTTAGTTCTAATTTTCTCCTTGTTTTCCATCGAGTGAGCCAAAGTCTTTGTTCCTGGTTCTCCCTCTTAGACTACAAGACTTTGTCCTACCATACAACCACACTTTTTTTTTTTTTTGCGGTGCATGGGCCTCTCACTGTTGTGGCCTCTCCCATTGCGGAGCACAGGCTCCGGACGCGCAGGCCCAGCGGCCATGGCTCACGGGCCCAGCCGCTCTGCGGCATGTGGGTTCCTCCTGGACCGGGACACGAACCCGTGTCCCCTGCATCGGCAGGCGGACTCTCAACCACTGCGCCACCAGGGAAGCCCCAACCACACTTTTTACCCAGAACAGTTACAGTGTCAGCTTACATGCTTACCTCTAGTGTTCAGCACTCTTTTTGTTTTGGAACCCTGTGATTTCCCTTATTTATTGATTTTTGGGGCCTTCGTTTTAAAGAAAAATGTATATTATTTGCCTTTCTGTTTGTAGCTGGAGAGTTTTCATGATATTGCCAGAACATGAAATTCTTGTTTGTTTTCTTGCTATCCAATCACAATTACACAAATTAGAGTGACACTGTGAAGTCTTTGATTTAATTGGGAACTAAAATCATAACAAAGATGGGAAGGATCTCAAGTAATACATGAAAATATTCTCCCAAAATGTCATAATAAAAAATCAACAATGAGAGCTTTTTAATTATTTCAAAGTAACATAAAGACTTACCTTAGGACTGACAAAGGTTCTGCTGAAAGAACCTTTGTTTCTTTGCCTGAATCATTTCAAGTGGTTTCAGGTTTAGCACTAACTACTCTTTTTATGTAAAAGTGATAAATAGATCTGATCGACTGAATTAATATTCCAGCTCCATGACCTAACTTTGAACTGTCAGCTACCTTCTTTAATTATATGATTACCACTAGTTTTGTGTTGGTCTGACAGGTGACTGATTCATGAATAATAAATTGATTCAGATTCTCAGGGTGATCTGTTTGTTTTTTGTGCAAGGATACTCAGAGCACTATCTGTGAAAAATACCCCCTGAAACAAAACTATAATTATTTTGAAGTTAAAAGTAAAGTAGATTTCACTGTTTTAATATTAAGGGTAATTTACATTATTATTGAGCATATTTATATGTAGCATATGCTGGCAACGTATACTGAAACCACTTTTATTGATTACCCACACTACTGAGATTATTAAGGAAGATAATCAGATAATGGACAGTCATATTTTATCTTGTTAATGTCTCATATAAAGTATTTCTGATCAGACTCTGTTAGCTGATAATTAGTTCCTTCCACTAGATATTTTTAAATTAGAAGTGTTCATTAGAAGCCAAATAAGAATGTCACGGCTGTGATTAGTTCTCATGGCCTTTGAAAAGGACACTATTTTTTACAGAGCATTTTTGTCTTTTAAAAAATAATCTGAAAAAAAAAATCTGTTGGTACTGTCTTAATAAATTAACAGTATAGTTCATCTAACCCAAGTACTTTCTCTTTCTCTTCTCTGGTTGGCAGTCATCTTTCATCTTGACTGTTTAACTGGAAAACTTGAGAATATACTGATGGTGTAGAATATTACTCTGACGGTTTCCAGTAATTACACTCTTTTTTTTAATGCCCCTAAGTGATTGTTCACAAGCATTAACTCTGTTCTCAGCAGCCTGGAACACATGACTCCTAAAAGGCTTCATTATTTTCATTTTCACCTTGGCTAATGTATTCTAGAAATGCAGAGACGAAGGAAGGGTCTGTGCTTACTCCGTGCAGCATGCCTCTCTCCATATTGCTTAACATAAAGCCGTTCACTCTGAGACTATCTAATTTGTAAAAACTTTATAAAAGGACATTCTGAGTAATTGCAGGATTCAAGGGAAATAATTTTGTTAGTGATAGCACATATTTATTGAGTGCTTAATATGTAAAAGCTTTAAATTTCTCTGAGCTAATCTTTGTATTAATACGTGTGGTTGAGGTAGGTACTATTGTTACCACCATTCTGACGACAATGCTGAACTTTAGAGAGATTGAATTATTTGCTTAAGATCACATTGCTAATATGTAGCAGAGCGGGGGCTTGAACCTCAGTGCAAATGACACCCAAATCTGCTTTTGGTTATTATGCAAGACTGTAAACTTTACGAGACAGGGAGCAGGGCTGCCTACTGTTTTCAGACCCTAGCACAGTGACTCGCACCTACCAGGCTTTTGGTAAACATTCGTTGAACGAATGGGAAAAAAAAATTGAATGAACTGGAAAAAGATTCCTTTGCATTCAATGTAAATTGAGTTATTTTCATTTGTCATATCGGTGGGGAAGAAGAATAATTTGTTAATATTTTTGGTATCGTGTGTGATAGTAGCTAGGCCTTGTCTGTTTAGTTTGCAATCTAGTTTTCACGCTTATGTTTACTTTCCCCCTCGTTAATTGCTCTAACATTAGAGTAAGCTGTCATGGATATTAGAGCTTTGATTAAGGTCTTGGATGGTTAAAAGCTAGTTTTCCCACAAGCATAGCAATTTAAATTGAATTAAATGCTAGCTTTTTCCTTCAATTAAAGTCTTTACTAAATTGGCTATGCACAAATACTAAAGAAGACTCTTTTAAATATACAGTATTAGGGAAAGGCAAAAAAAATTAAATATGGGATACAGTTAGCTTTCTCTCTCACAAATCTGTAGCTGTGATCAGTCACTGATGAGCATAATGCTATATCCTAGCTCTGCTACCAGGCTTGAGTAGAAAGTATCTCTTAAATTACCCTGGATTACTATATATTGAGTCCCAAGATCACTCAGTGTGTCTGCAGCCGGCTGGCTTTGGGACTCTGGGCAACTCAGTAGACCTTGTTCCATCAAAGATTTACTGCCCTGGCAAGAAAGCCCTAATTATCTTTCTAGGTCCATTAGAGGAAAAGCTCCAGTTCATGTTTCTACAATTCTTGTTGTTAGTCCCTTTTCTACTTTTTTTTTTTTGCCTTCTGGCCAAGAAGAAAGAGGGGAAAACTTTATAACCTTTTAAAATTCCAGGTTTAAGTGACTCTTTTGCTGTTATTTTTCAATGAGTATGTTTCCTGTCAGTCCATTTCAAAGCCTGGGACTGTGTTGTTTTTCTTTCCTTATGTGAGAAGTCCTCACCTATCTGAGTGCCTTTTTGAGGAACAGCCACATGGGCTTCTTACTTTTAAACACTGAGATGGAAAATCCTGTTCCTCCTTAATGATTCTATCACGATTCCTACTTGCACATAAACCTCCAGTGGATTCAACCAGTTCCTGAAAGAATTCAAGTTTGAATCTAAATTTATCAGGATGGAAATTAAAACAACATATGAATAGAATTCAGTGCTTTAAAACAGCTGTGTAGTGATTTCTTCACAGGGCTCCCCTGATAACCTAATTAAATGATTAATCACTTCACATCCTTCTCCAGGCCACACAGTCCTAGATTTTTAGCCTTTCCTCATAGGATTGATTTCCTCATCCTTATTCTGAAGCATCACTTAATTTCCATTTTCCTCCAATTGAGAACACCGGAATAGAACATCTTATGCCAATCAAATGGAGCAAGTATTTAATACAATGAGAATATTATTCTTCACAACTCTATGATTCTACTGACCAGTATGGAGTTTACTAGAAGGATTCTCACTAATTACATGAACAGGACTATGCCCATGTGAACTGAAATATGACCATTTTCTTTCTTCCCGTCTCCTCTCTTCCCTCTCCTCCCATTCTCTCTCTTTCTCTCTCTCTCTCTTTTCTCTTGTTCCTCACCCCCTCGTATCCTAAGCAGGGTCCCCGTGGGCCTGAGGGAGCACCAGGAGAGAGGGGCTTACCAGGAGAAGGACCTCCAGGACCAAAGGTAACAACAACACCTTCTACACTGAGGGAAAATGCTTTGTATTGCATGGTCATGAATGACAAATTTACAAAAATGTGTCCTAGCCAGTTATCCCAGGTCAAGGATCTTCTCCTGACCATCTTCACCCTATTAAACGAAGTAATATGTAAATTTCCCCTTAACATAAAGCTATAGTGACATTTGCAAATATAAATAAGTAACTGAAAGGCTGCTTCTTCATATAATTACCGCATATGAAATTAGAGAAATCTCTTAAAGTAGTTTGTAGTCATTAAAGTCACAGTGATAAATAGCATTTTTATGCCCAGAAATTAAGTTATTGAACGTGGCTATACCAAGCTTTACCCACAGCTTTGTTTTGTGAAACGTACAGAAGAAACAGTCCAATAAAACAATTTGTCGTAGTACTTCCATTAACATAAGAAAGGAAATGTGGGTGGGTGGAGGGAATTGGAGTTACCATGTTACCAGAAGGAGCAAAATGTTATGCAAGACCTACCTTTTACCTGGCAATTGAGAATTTAAACGTTTCCACTGCCTCCCATATGTAATTCTTGGAGCTCAGGTTCCTCTAGACCAGGGCTTGGCAAACTTTTTCTGTAAAGGACCAGACAGTAAATATTTTAGGCTTTGTGAGCCATACGATATCTGTTGCAACTACTTAACTTCTGCTGCTGCAGCATGAAAGCAGCCCTGAACAATGTATTAATAAATGAACTTGGCTGTGTTCCAATAACGCTGTATCTACAAAAAACGTGCAGTGGGCTGAATTTGGCCAATGGTCTGTACTTTGCTGATCCCTGCTCTAGACTCTTTACCCATAATATATGGCTCCTTTGCCAAAGGCCACCTAGGAAATGATTTTCCAAGACACTTTGGGCAGCATCAACAAAATTTCAGAGTAAGTAAGGATAAACTTTGGGGTCCTTTTTCCTTCTTTTCTAAAACCTTTCCCCCAGAGACACATGCATGCATACACACTACCCAGAGAAGCATATGCTGCTTTCTAAGTGTCTAAGACCTTCCACTTCAGTCATTCAGTCGAGTCACTGAGATCCAACCTTCTCAGTACGGCCTCACACTCTAAAATTGCTTCTCATTTTCAGCCTCTTCCACCATGATCAATATTCAATTATCTGTGAGAAACCTAAATCTCAACTAAAGGGAAATCAATTAGTTAAAACAAGTAATTCACACGAAGTTGTAACTGCTGGATTGAATTTTAAAAGAAGCCCTTGTTAACTAACAAATTTTAATTTGTTATAGTAAATGGAAATAATATGTCGGATGAAGTGGACATTACTAATGCTCTTGACTAACAAAAATATCATCATGAGAAGGCAGAGGCCAGCAATTTGGCACCACATTTCAGAAAGTTTTATAATACATAATTTCTTGAATTTTTCTTTGGCACATAGTAAATTTCTATTTATATGTTGCCCAAACAACCTGAAAATTCAAATAGCCAGAATTATTTCTCCTTATCATCTGTGGGGTTTAAAAAATAAGAAATAAGTGAGAAAGGAATAAATGAAACACTGCGAAGCCTATTTCAGGGCATGTCTTAGTGACAGTTTCAACGGCATGAAATAATGATACACTCCTTCATAATAACACACTCTGACTCATCAAAGAAAGAACTCATTATATTCAGTGTTGTTTTAGGGTTGAATGGACACAAATATACTCTGTGGTAACAATCAGAAGAACCCATTAGTCAGAACACTTCACTCCCCAACCAGCAAGACCAAATCGGAGGTTTCTGTATATTCTTCTTGGGGCTACTTTGCAATGACGTAGGGCTTAAGTGAAGAAATTATGAATATAGAGGGACATTAAGGTGTGTTTTCCTGTTTCCTAGGTTTCCTGCAAATGTTCTTTGATTCTGCTCTCGGTTCATGAAATGTGTGCTATTTCTGATTGATTATATGGTTTGTTTTTCATACAAATGCACAGTGTTATGACTTCATTGATATTACATTACAACCAGAGCTATTCACATGGGTCATGTGACTCTGGAAGCATATCCAAGAAGATTTTCCATGAATTCTTCTAAAACTAAGTTTTCAATAAATGATTATAAATTCTGGTATAAAACATGTAATAAATAATTCAATCTTAGCAAATATTATTTCATATACTGAGAGGCAAATTTTCATTGTGTAATGGATCCAGTTATAGAAATGTTGAGGAAATGGAAGACTGATTCTGTTAGTTATAATATGTGATTGATCAGATCTCCCATATCCAGATATATCTGATTATATTAGGAATGGAGTGCTTTTCCAACTTTAGTGATGCTGCATGCGTTATGCTTGGATAGATTCTATTTATGAATGTTAATGCTAATTTTCTTCGGCAATTTACAAATCTTGGAGTTAGAATTACCCATTTATAGTTAGCAGTGAATTTAGATGCTTTGAATGCTTGAACTGTTTTAAAATCCTGAATTTTATTAGTGCATTGATATCCCTTCCATATACTTTCAGGGTGAAAAAGGTTCTGAAGCACCAGTTGGCCCACAAGGATTAGAAGGCCCATCAATTGAAGGGGACAAGGTACTGCAAAAGGGTGTATAATAGAAAGGATGAGAATACAATTATTTTTTTCATTGTTCTTTCCGTACGTACATTTATGAACTATGTACAACCTGATGATCATACACCACAGGTATCCAGTTAATTATGAAGGCCTTAAAGACCAGTGCAAAGGGAAAGCTGCCAGAAGGGGAAGAGTTATAAGAAATGTGCAAAAAACAGAGACCTCAGATCAGTTTGGAGTCATTTATATGTCAATGTCTAAGCATACCATTATATTATATATTATATTAAAATAACGATTGACATTGATGATTATCTTGGGTGTTGTATTTCTACTTGAATTGCTTATTCCTTTTACTTACTATTTACTGGTAGCTGTCTCTTCTGGGCATCTGTATTTAAATAGCAGAGACAGCGGTAAATAGTGAATTATACAAATTTTAGATGTCATACAATTCTTGGTTCAAATAGCTCAGCACTGGTAGTGTAACTCCACTTCCAAAGTACCTTAAAAATATGTAAGATGCTCCTTCTTCCTTTGGAGCACTGAGTACAAGAGAACTGTTGTGTTATGAGTTTAGTGAATTAACTTATCCAGGTGTTGTTGAAATGGCATTCGTGGTTTTACGTCTGGAGCTCATGCAAAGAAAACACATTAACTGTCAGAACATTATCACATAGTAATTGCAAGACTTTCATCTGCTATTCCCTTACCAAATCAATACTGTCTTCCCTTTCCCTTCTCCTTTCTTCCTTTCCTATTCTTTTATATTCTGTGATTCAAGAGGCTAGATAAACACCTCTATAAGGACTCTCAAATACACACAATTGTTGCAGCACAAGGAAGTAGCTTTAATATAGATATTAAATGTAAGTAATAATACCCCAAAGAGAATCTCTCTTATTTTATTGAATATTTGCAGAAGAATGATATGAGTTGGGTTTGGAGTTAGGGGGAGTGAACTTGAATCTTGCTTCTGCCATCGATCAGATGTGTGAATGGGAGTTACTTAACCTCATCTGGAAAATGGAGACGCTTACTCTCAGAGGGTTGTTGTGAGGATTAAATGAGATAAAGCATGAAAAGCATTTAGTGCACTCTCTGCCACATGATAAGCAATCAAGTTCTGAATCAGAACAGCCCAGCTTTGAAGTAGAACTTGAGTCCTTTACATGTTTCCATCCATGATATTTATTTAGACTAGGGATTGACACAAAGTGAAACACTGAGAAGCATATGCCAGGACATGTCTTAATGACAGGTTCCGGTTTTTAATATTATATAAAGTAGGATCTAACGATGTGCTTTTGTTTATAAAAACATATTTATTTTAGCCCAGGCAGTGGCAAACTACAGGGCAGCCTGCCTGTTTTTGTAAATAAAGTGTTACTAGAACACAGGCACACCTGTTCATTTGGGTATTGTCTATGGCTGGTTTTGTACTACCAAAATAGCATTCATTTGTTATGAAAGAGACCTTATTATGACCCAAAAGCATAAAATATTTACTATCCAACTGTTTAAGAAAAAGTTTGTAAGCCCTGGTGTAGTCTAAATACAACTGACATTAGAATAAAAGTATTTATTCATGTTGCCTAATCCAGTGGTCAATTCTCAGTTGCCAACTTACTTGACCTATCAGTAGCGTCCTCTGCTAGGATCTTCACCTTCTTGAAACAATCTCTTCACCTGACCTCTCTGGCTGCACCTTATCAGTCTCTACTGCTGGTTGTTCTTCATCTCTCTGACCTCTAACACTTGGAGCCTCCAAAGGGCTCAGTCCTTGAACCTTCTCTCTTCCCTATCTACTTGTAAACTCACCCAGTCATGGCTTTAAATACCATCTATATACTGAGGGTTCCCAAATTTATGTCTCCAGCTCAGGCCCCTCTTGCCTACTTGATACCTCCATTTGGATGTCTATTTTAGGCATCTCAGGCTTAACATATCCAAAACTAAGCTCCTGGTATACCCTCCCCCAACCTTGCTTCATCTCAGTCTTCTCCTTGTCCATAAATGACAAGTCTATTCTTCCACAAACCTCAAAGAAATCCTAGGGTCCTCTCAATCTGTAACAAATCCTGTTGGCTCTATTTTCAAAATCTATTTAGGATCTGAGCACTCCCCACCACCTTCACTCAACAGCCTGGTCCAGGCCCCCATCATCTCTCACAGGGACATCTCTTCAGTTTGTTCTCGGTACGGCTTCCAGAGTGAGCCTTTCAAGACTATGTCAGATCTTTCACTCCTCTGCTCAAAACCCTCTAGTGGCTTCTCATCTCCCTCAGCGAAAAGCCAAAGTTCTTGCTATGGCCTAAAACACCCTACTGATGGTTCTGCCTGAGCCCACTGCCACACTTCCCTGACTCCATCCTCTACCACTTCCCCTCGTGCTCACTAGCTCCAGCCACATTGCCTCTTTGCTATTTCTGGAATCTGCCAGGCATCACCCTTGTACTGGATGTTTGCTCTGCCAGGAATGCTTTTCCTCCAAGTTTCTACCTGGCTCATTCCCTCTCATCAGTGAGACCATCCCTGGTCACCGTTTCCAAGACTGCAGCTGTCTCCCCGTCCCTCCATTTATTTTTCTCCTTAGCACTTACCATTATTCAACATACCATTTATTTCTCCTATCCATCTTGTTTATTATCTTCTGTTTCCTCTACAAAAATGAAAGCTCTATGAGGAAAGAGAGTTTTGACTGTTTTGGTCACGGCTGTTTCCCTGTGTTTGGACCAGTTCCTGGCACATAATGAACACTCAACAAATATTTGTTGAAACACACAGAGAATGGATGAATGGTATTGTTCTTCTTACTGATAACTCTCACTTTATTTCCCAAATTTATTCCTGGAAAGAGAAGGTGAGGTTCTTTAATTTTGCTGCACTTACCTTAGATAATTTCTTAATTTTTAAAATGCATTTTAGTAAGATTTGGAGGGAAAGGGTATTTAGAAATTTAAAAAATATTTTTCTTTAATTTCTCTCTCAAATATTTATTTTCTTGCACCCTATGAATTTTATACTTCTAAATATTTCTGTTATGATCCTAGCAAGAAGGATTTGTGTCATTACAATAACAATTCAGGAATTCTGGGTTCTTGTGTGAAAAATAAATGTAAACTGGGGCAAAGAGTCACCAATTTAGACCAAATAGTGAAAACATCATTCACTATTTTGGCAAATTTGAACTACAAACTATTTAAAAGGAACAGTGTTTTCTAAGTTTCCATGTGGAGCTTCTTTATGGTTTAAAGATAGACTTTAATCCAGCATAATTCAAGATTAGCATAGTATGAAATAATGAGGTTAGTTGTTATACTTCTGACTTATTTTCTACACTGTGGGATATGGGACCTATGGGACCCCAAGGACCAGTGGGCATCCCCGGAATTGGGAGTCAAGGGGAACAGGTAATCGATGCTTTCTCTCTTTCCCTTTTGTACAGAACATTCTGGCTTAAACCTGGTGTTCACTGAAGGCCTGTACTGCAAACTACTATAAGAACATTTGATAGTGAAATTGCAATGGAATATATATCCAAAAGTGCATGTAGGGAAGGATAAGATGGTTTCATGAGATTTTAGTTTTTAGAACTTCTAAAGACTTAAAAAATAAATTGCATGTTTCTTGGTGTTGTGACTTTTAACATTAAAGTCTAATTTACAGGACAAGAGTTTTGGAGCATTATCTTATATTTTTAGTTTCCCTTGGGAGTGATAATTTATTTACCTGTTGGTTTGTGTGTGTTTTTTCCCTTGAAGTTTTGTGAATGATGAAATCCCACTCTCTTCTGATGCCAGTAGATTAGTGTTTCCCACCCCCAGCCACGTAGCAATCTAAAAAACTATTAAACTTAAAACAAGGACCAGAATCAGAGGGAACCACTTTACTGAGGGAGCATTGTTCCTGAACAGAAGCAAACCACAGATAAGAGTTTACAAATAGGTCTTGGCCGCTCTTGGTCAGAGCAAAGGAAAGATCTGTGAGGCTGTGTCTAAATTTATGGCTGGAATGACTTCCAAATTCTTCTGATCACAACTTTTGGAAAAGCAAGGCAATTTTGTTAGATTGAAATAATATGAAGAGGGCTTCCCTGGTGGTGCAGTGGTTAAGAATCCGCCTGCCAATGCAAGGGACACGGGTTTGAGCCCTGGTCCGGGAAGATCCCACATGCCGCGGAGCAACTGAGCCCTTGCGCCACAACTACTGAGCCTGCGCTCTAGAGCCCGTGAGCCACAACTACAGAAGCCCGCGAGCCACAACTACTGAAGCCCGTGTGCCTAGAGCCCGTGCTCCGCAACAAGAGAAGCCACGACAATGAGAAGCCCGCGCACTGCAACAAAGAGTAGCCCCCGCTCGCCGCAACTAGAGAAAACCCGCGCACAGCAACAAAGACCCAACACAGCCAAAAGTAAATTAATTAATTAATTTTAAAAAAGAAATAATGTGAAGATAATATAACAGTACTATCCACCTACATAATCTCATTTAATCAAAGTGACCAACAAATCCAAATTTACGCTGAATGTCCTCCTGTGTAGAAAGTGGCAAAACAGTTTGATTAAAATTTATGATTATGGTTTGAATTATTCTGTTGCTTAGCAAACAAATAGTACTTCCTTCATCTAGGGTAGTGAGAGAAGGGAAGGATGAAAAAGGAGATAACTCCAAATCTCACTGTTGACATTAACTCTGAGTTTATTTCTAATCATATTCTAATTAATCAGTATTTTTGTTGTTGTTAATCCAAGCAACAGCCAAGTTGGGTATTACTCCTTTTTCTATTTCCTTCCCCTTGGTAGAGGTCCTAGTATAATACATTAGGGGGATTAGGGTGCAGAAGAAGCCAGGATAAATATTTAGATAATATTTAGATAATAATTAAGAGCTGGTTTGTTTGGACTACAAAGGTTTGACTATGCTGCCAGGCATTCTCAGACTTTGTAGTTGTTTTGCTGCTTTCAGCAAAACCGTTTCAGCTAGTTTCTGATCTTGGAAGTGACAGCGCTGTCACATCCTGGGCCTTGTGGTGTTCCTGGTGCTGAGTCGCCACTGTGAAGCTGAAAATGAGGTTCAAAGAAAGCCAAGCCTTTCCAGATGGCCTGTGAATCTTGGACCTCCCACCTGCAGCTCCCTGATGCCTTTAATACTGTTTCTTGGTGGAACCTGTTGTTCTACAGCTTGAAAAGAAAACAAAAGAAAAAACAAAAAGACCTCTTTGACTTTTGTTTTCTCACCCCCTTCTCTTCTTTTCCAAGAGAAAAAACCTTTTAGGGCATATGTGACCATATGGAGCTGGCCCCTATTGGATAGGAAATTGAATGGAATGTGTCATTTGTAAACCGTCTGAACAAGAAAAGAATTTGTTTACCTTTTTAAGACAAGTGATTTAAATTCTACTTCAATTTAACCTCTATGCAGGCAGTTCCGCATTTTTCTTCTTATCCTTAATTTAACATGTTTACCCATGGAATTACTGTTATAACTAGATCTTCCCATTTCTCTTATAGACATTAATTTTCCCACTCATCTGTTTCTGGGGGAACTTCTGTTTCCAGAAACATGTTTACAGTATTTCTCAAGTGGCCTGCAGATTTTCACTAAATATTTGGAGGCTTGACTCCTTCAAATCTCTTTAAAATGAATCGAAATATAAATAACCACATATACCTGTGTACACACGTATATGCACACATATCCTTTGAATTTTGGGGGGTCTTGCATGCTACTTGTAGACTGTTGTGTAAGTCAGGAAGGATTCCTCCTTATAATGGTTCAATATAAATACTGAATCTCAGCTTCCTTAAGTTGTTTAGACTGCTTCATCTTCATCAACAAAAATGAACAAACAGTTGTATCATCTAGCTGGAGAAAATGGGATAGCATTTGTAATAAAATAATCATGTATCTGTAACCATTATTTGCACAATTATGGCCTGTGGGGTGTAAACAAAACAAAATCTTAGTTTTTTCTCTCATCATCACTTTAAATTTTTTTTAGTAGGTAAAGTTCTTTCTTTTTCTTACCACAGAAAAAAATTACCAGCTGGCTACAGACTTTCCTTATCACTTTTAGGTAATAATAAGTTATAGGATCACCTCTAAGTTTCAAATCAGTTTTAATTGTCTAATAAAAACTATCTAGTCAATGTATTAATCTTCCTTTTAATCTTCATTTATCTTGTACGAGCTGCAGGGAGAATCTGTTGTCCATGGGATGGAATGTGCTTCTTATCCTCCCAGGCTGAATCAAGGATGGGAGCATGGGAGGAGGCATGGAAGTTCTTTCTTGGCTGGTCTATTGTCAGATGGTTTTGGGTCCTCTGGTCTTGGCAGATGTTTGATGCTGACACTCTTCCTGGTGGGGCTCCTGCACTGCCCCTGCGACTGCCCCTCCTGGGACATGGATGAAGGACTCTTTCCCTCCAGCTGTTTCTCCCCATAAGCCTCTGCTTTCCTGGGGCTTTACTCTATACTGACTCTCTCTGTTGGAGTTCCATTACTCTTCTAGGTCCTCTTGGACAGGATTCAAAGCAGTTCCAGGTCAACTCCAAGCATCTAGAGTACATCTGGGCCACAGGAAAAATCTCGTGGGTCCTTTGCACTGACAAGCTCTGGATGCACAGGCTGATCCCACCCCAGCCCTCTGCTGGCTATCACAGCCCATTTTAACTTGCTCAGGCATGAGTCAGACACGGGTCCATTGTGTTCCAAAAATAAAAATCAAGGTCTCCAAGTCATTTCATTAATGTTCCCTGTCTAGAATGTGGGAAAGAGAGAAGCAAGCCAAACCCCTTCCATTTTCTCCAAGGAAAACACTTTATGAGACTATTCTCTCCAAAGAAGACCTTATTACATACATCCTGTCTCTTCTCCCTTCTTATACCCACAATGTGAATGAGAGTCAAGTATTAGACCGTTCTTCAGTTTGGTGTTTGCAGGCTATCGCTTCTTAGAGCCTAGGTCAAATTTTCAATTTCACATCCTGAGAGATATTGCTTGGTACAGCTAGGACACAGGTTTGCCTGCATGTGACTGAGGTGAAATAGGTTAATAAGATGGAATTTTTGTTTCTCTTATTTAAAACTCCAAGCTGGCGTGTTGGCTCCATTCGTCAGGGAATTCAGAGTTTCAGGCTTCTTCATTCTTGTTAGTCTGACATTCCAAGGGTGCTTTCCTCATCCACATAATCCAGGATAGTAACTATGTCTTCACTTCAGCAAGGGGGAGGGGAACAAGGAAAGAGAAGGCATATCCTTCCTTTAGCATGAACCAGAAATTGCCCAGATCACTTCATTCACATCCCATTGGCCAGCATCCAATTCACCTGGCTGCACCAGGGATTAGGAAATATGGTCTTTATTCTAGGCAGCCATGCAGGCCAGTTAAAAATTCTCTTACTATGGAAAAATGGTAGAATGCATATTATGGTTCTACTAGCAGCCTCTGCCACCCATTCAACAAGTATTAACTGAGTATAAGTAATCAATTATGGGATGTGAACTAAACTTTTACTTTAGAAGATTTGAAACTACTCTTATTTAAATTTCTTTTTAATTTCACTCATATTATTTTTAAAATTTTCATTTTAAAGGGAATCCAAGGTCCTATTGGTCCACCTGGTCCACAAGGGCCCCCAGGACAAGGCTCACCTGGTCCCAAGGTAACTTTCTAAATGAGAGAAGAGTTTAATCTATCTATATTCTGATTGTCGTTTTCTGGTCAGTGGCCAGTGCATTTGGAAGGCAGCAGAGGAAATGAACTTAAAAATGAGAGATCTCTATTTAATGTAAAATGTACTAGCATTCCTAATGGTTTAGAAAATGTTATATGTATTCTTTGTGCTCTTAGAAGCTTTTGCATTCATCCCTCAGTATCTGCTGGAAGGTTGATTCCAGCACTCCCACCCCTTCCCTATACCAAAAGCTGAGGATGCTCAAGTCCTTTATATAAATGGTGTAGGATTTGCATATAACCTACTCACATCCTCCTGTATTTTAAAAATCATCTCTAGGTAACTGCTAATACCAAGTACAATGTAAATGCTATGTAAATATCTGCCAGCATGCAGCAAATTCAGGTCTTTCTTTTGGATATTTCTGGAATATCTTTCCTTGAATATTTTCCATCCAAGATTGGTTGAATCTGCAGCCGAGTCCAAGCTCACACCACTTGCTGCGCTACAGGCCAGTAAGTCAAGAGACACAGTGCAGGGGAGAGGAAAAGCAGCAAACCAAGAAGATGGCATACTAATGTTCTAAAGAACCATCTTAATTTGGGGTAGAATTCAAGTTTCTTTTATGCTAGGGAAGGGGGAAGCAGGAGGGAGTTAAGATCAAGAAGAGAAGGACGACCACAGATATCTGGGCGCCAGCAAGGGTCCGAGGAGGGTTCTGAAAACATTTTGTTCTTGGTTAGTTGACTTCAGTTGACCTGAGTCTGTTCCTGATGTTCCTATAAATCTTGATAAGACAATCGTTATTTTTGTTCATACTTCCTTATCTCCTCGTGGGAGGTAAGTTTTGAGTAAGGGACTGTTTGCACAAATCTTAACCTGAGTCCCTTTAGTGATTAACATGTCTACATGCAGGGCTGAACAGAGGCTTATGACTCAGAGGTTAAAGCAGCAGAACAGATAGGTACAATATGGAGTCAGAGATGCCAAGCTTCTATAAACAAGAGGCAGGCGGTGGAGGGGGATCTTAGTTCCTGAAGAACAACTCAGGGATATTCATCAGATTGTTATGTCTGTCCCTTATGGAGGAACTAGTACTCTGTTTTATCGCTCAACTATTGTCATTACTTTTTTTGTTTAACTCCTCTTGCTTTGTTTTTGTTTGTTTGTTTGTTTGTGTTTTGCAGTATGCTGGCCTTTCACTGTTGTGGCCTCTCCCGTTGCGGAGCACAGGCTCCGGACGCGCAGGCTCAGCGGCCATGGCTCACCGGGCCCGGCCGCTCCGCGGCACGTGGGATCTTCCTAGACCGGGGCACGAACCCGTGTGCCCCGCATCGGCAGGCGGACTCTCAACCACTGCCCCACCAGGGAAGCCCTCTTCCTTTGTTTTTGCATTCCCTCGTTTCACTAATTAGTAACTGCCTGTGCCTGCTCCTTAGAACTCAGGGAAGGCCCAGGAAATTAAAGCCTTTTTCTACAAGCGGGAAATGGAGGGGCTTTTGTACCTGGGAGGGCCTCACAGGGTCCTACTCGATTTCAATCCCCCTTTTTCTTCTATACTACTCAATTCTAAGGGGAACAGGGCAGATAAGAAATGGAATAAAGTTTTGGATAGAGAGGTTAATCACAAACTCAACAGAGGAACTCAGTTTTATGGGGACTCAGTTTCAAATCCACAGACAGAGAACCGGTGGCTACCAAGGTGGCAGACTATATTTACACCATCTTAATTTACTGCTTTTATTACTTTTACTTGTGAGACCCTGTTCTAGAAACTCAAGCAGTAATATCAGTAGAGGTTACCCGTGGGCTGGCTAGTTTTCATTCCCCACAATAGGTCCAACAACCAAAACGTTTAGTTAAAGATATGGAGTCAGGGGCTTCCCTGGTGGCACAGTGGTTGAGAATCTGCCTGCCAATGCAGGGACACGGGTTCCAGCCCTGGCCTGGGAAGATCCCACATGCCGCAGAGCAACTAAGCCCGTGCACCACAACTACTGAGCCTGCGCTCTAGAGCCCACGCACCGCAACTACTGAAGCCCACGCGCCTAGAGCCCGTGCTCCACAACAAGAGAAGCCACCGCAATGAGAAGCCCATGCACTGCAACGAAGAGTAGCCCCCACTTGCCGCAACTAGAGAAACCCTGCGCGCAGCAACAAAGAACCAATGCAGCCAAAAATAAATAAATAAATAAATTTCTAAAAATAAAAATATAAAGATATGGAGTCAGAAACAACCTGGCAAATAAAAATTTTTCTATGAACTTGGAAGCATATTACCTTCTAAATTAGAATTATTATTTCTCCCTTGGGGAGAGTCATGACACTTACTTAACCAGCTGTCCTTAATGTTGCTTCAAAGAATCACTGATCATTGTTAAATAAATACTCCTCTGAAAGTACCTCCCTTTCAGTAGATTCCTTCGAGAGTCCCATGTGAGAAGTAGCTCAATAGAATACAGTTAAAGTCCTTGAGATTTCTGATTTGAGCTCAATGGTGAAAGCTCAGGTTGTTCTCTCTGGTTATGATACTGCTTTTGATCAGCAGTAACCTTGGCTTCTCATGTGTCAATTTTAGTTACTCTGGAATATAACTGCCTATCTTTTCCAAATATATATATATATATATATTTGCCTGAAATATATTTATATTTGAATAGATACATGCACATATACACACACATATGTGAATAGAGCATATGAAACTCAGTTTTATCTTACTTTGCTGATATGTTTTGCTCTTAGGAGATCAAAGGTAGGTACATATTATTTTTACTTTGCTGCTATATTCAAATACCCTTCAAATACTCTTACCTCATTAGGGAGAAGTAGGCCAGATAGGACCTAGAGATCCTAGAGGACCAGTGGGACTTGGAGTGCACGGTCCAAAGGTGGGTTGTCTAAGCTGCTTGGAAGCATTTATGTAATATTATGTAAAGTTTCATTTATATCCAAATGCAATACATATCATGTATGTATCATCTGTTATTTCATCAGAGAAGAGTCTGATGCTTAACTCGTATTGTTTAAGAAAAGCCAAAATCTTAGTTTATTTTAGTGATGACTGTTTACGTTTTTATTTATTTATTAGCACTAGAGGTCCTCTTTCAGCACAGACTGATTCTTTAAGAACATTATTGCCTGCCATATTATAGAAGCATAGGAGAATTTCAGTAAAGTTTACTTCCCTCCTTTTGTTTTGTAGCCGGCTCCTTCTCATCCTTCAGATCTCAGCTCAAAAGTTACTTCCTCAAAATTCATTTCCTAAATATGAAGTATGCCCACCCCACTACTGTTACCCCAGACTGTTATTTAAAAGCACACTGTTTGTTTCCCTTGCTTTTTACCACTTACCTCAACTTGCATGTTTTTTGAATTACTTTTCATCTTACTACACCCTTTAGAAATGCACTGCCCAGTATGGCAGCCGCTAGCCACAAGTGGTTACTGAATACTTGACATGTGGCTGGTATAAACTGAGGTGTGCTGTAAATGTACTATACACTCTGGATTACAAAGCCTGGTATAAAAAAAAAAATGCAAACTATATGATTAATACATTTGTATATTGATTACATACTGAAATGGCAAAATTTCGGTTGTATTAGAGTAAGTAAAATATATTATTAGAATTGTACTTATCTGTTTCTTCTAATGTTGTAAATGTGGCTGTTAATAATATAATTACATATATGGCTTGCTTTATATTCTATTGGACAGTGGTACCCCACTGGGGCAGGGATTTTGTTTCCTTTTTTTCTTCTTTGTTACTGAATCCTCAGTTTGGGGGACAAAATAGGTACTCAATAAGTGCTGTTGAATAAATAACTGAATCCTTATTTTACCCTTCACAATTTCTATAACTCATCCTGAGGGCATATAGAATCTGGCAAGCCATGCTGAGCGTTGAAATCCATCATTGTTCTGCTGTCATTGACATGATTCTTATGAGAATTGGGTATTAGAAGAATATGTAAGACACAGGTCTAAAACAAATATACATTTTACATATATATAAACATATAATTGCAAGAGACACAAAATGTACTAATATAGTGATCATAGCTGCCATTTATGGAATGATTTTGATGTGTCACACAATGTGCTAAGTGCTAAATATGCTAAGTACATATATGTGTGTACATACATATATATACTATATTTATGTCTATACATGTCTATAGTATGTATATATGTATATATACATATTATGTCATCTAATGCCAATTTCAGAGAGGCCATATAGAGTAACAAGGCTACTAGGCAGTTAGACTACCTAAGTTCAAATCCCAGTCTTGCACTAGATGGATATATAATCTTAAGCTTCTCTCATTTAGAAAAATGAAATACTTAAAATACACTCACTACTATAGAGAATAACAAAGAACACCCATGTATTCCACACCCAGCTTTATCAAATATCAACATTTTGCCACATGTATTCTAGAATTTTTTTAAGAAGAAGCATTACAGATATAGCTGAAGGCCTCTGCCTGTGCTCCCCAATCCTATTGCCCTCCCTTCCCTCCCCAGATGTAACCATTGTCATGAATTTGGTGTTTATCATTCTTTTGAAGTTTTTTATAATTTTCCCGTATGTTTTTATGCATAAGCCGTATATTGCTTTTTTTGTATTCTTGAACTTTACATAATATATCATTCTGCAATATATTTATACTCAGCCTTAGTTATTTGTGTTTTTATATGCCTTTAATCATTCAGTTTAATTATTTTATGATACTGTATTGTATGAGAATACCTCATTTAAAATTTATGCTTTCCTCTTGATGGACATTTAAATTGCTTTCCATTTTGTGCATTTGCCAACAATGCTGCCATAAACATTCTCTGGGTTTCCTCTTTTGTAAGGATACAAGTTTCTCTCATTAGCAGGATTGGAAGATCACAGAGTATGCAAGTTTTCAATTTTGATACTGTGAAAATCCTGCCCAAAATAAACAATGGGTAAAATGTTTAGACCAGATTACCCTCCTTCCAGCAACAGGTGAAAATGCTCTTTTCTCTACATTCTTGCCAGTATGAAGCATGTAAAAATACATCTCATTGGTTCAGTTTTTATTCCTTGATAACTAACTGAACAGTTTTTGTGTGCTTAATGGACCTCGGTTTTTCTCTTTTGTAAATTCCTGTAGATACTGATTTTTTTTTGTTTTTGATGTTGGGTGTTCCTTTCTTATTAATTAATGGTTCTTTATATATCTGGATAATAGTCTTTTGTTATTTGGGTTGCAAATCTCTGAGGCTATGGTTTGTCTTTTTCACTTAGAGTACTTTTCAGCATATACAATAGAAGTTTTAGATTTTGATGTGTTTCTATCCCTTTATGGTTTGGGCTTTTGGAATATTATTTAAAAACATTTCTTGACTCCAAAGTCATAATATATTCTTACGTATTTTCTTCTGAAAAATTTCGTGTTTTACTTTTTAAAATTTAGGTCTTTAATACACTTGGAACTTATTTTTGTGGATAGGGCAATGTAGGGAGTCTATTTTTTCCCCATATGGATAACCAAATATCCCAGCATCAGTTATTAAGTAGCCCATCTTTGCCACACTGATTTGTAATACCTCCTATGTCACATATCAAGTTTCTATATTTGTGAGGATCAGTGCCTGAGTTCTCTATTCTGCTCCATTTTTCTATTTATATCTCTCAGTGCTATTACCTCTGTCTTGATTATGATAGATTTATAATGTTTTATCATCCACAGAGAAAATACTCTCATCTTCTTCCCTGGTTATTCTTAATTCTAACATATACATTTTAGAATTGGCTTGTCAAATTTGACAAATATCCTGTTGGAGTTTTTGAAATTGCATTGAATCTTTGGATTAAATATTGAGTCTTTCAAACCACAGAGTAAATCTCTCTACCTTTTTTAGGAAAATATTTGTCATTTTATCCATAAAGATCTTCTACTTTTTTAGTTAAAAAGGTACTTTGGAGAAATTTTTGCAATTGTGAATTGTTTTTTTTCTGTACCTTCCAATTAACTGTAACAGGTGTATAGGAAAAGTATTGTTTTGTTATTATCTTGTTTTGTTTTGGTATATTAATTTTTGTATCCAGCCAGCTGATAAAATCTCTTATTTCTAATTGTTTGTAAAGGCTCTTGCTTTTCTACTCCCTGTATACATAAGCATACTGTCTGAAAATAAAAACAGTTTTGCCTCTTCCTTTTTAGTTCTTTTTCTTATTCACTTTTTATCATTTTACACTGCTAGGGTCTCCAGTGCAACGTTTAAAGGAAGTGACTTCAGAGGACATGCTCCTAAATTTTCACTTTTAAGTGTGATATTTGCTGTAGGTTTTTTTTTTTTTTAATACAAATTTATTTATTTATTTATGGCCGCATTGGGTCTTCGTTGCCGCGTGTGGGCTTTCTCTAGTTGCCGTGAGTGGGGGCTACTCTTCGTTGCGGTGTGTGGGCTTCTCATTGCAGTGGCTTCTCTTGCTGTGAAGCATGGGCTCTATGTTGTGATCTATACGTTTGTTTCACTACATAATGTCTTTGGCTACTTTTGAGATTTTTCTCTCTAGCACTGGTTTTGAGCCATGTGATTATAATGTGCCTTAGTTCAGTTTTCTTCATATTTCTTGTGTTTGTGTTTCATTGATCTTCTCGGATCTATGAGTTACTGATTTCATCAAATTTTGAAAATATTAGGTTAGCATATCTTGAAATATTTCCTACCCTCAGCATTCACCCAGGAAATTCCCACTTAAATTTAAATGCTTGGAGTTTTCTCACAGTTCACAGATGCTCTGCTCATTCTAATTCAGTCTCTTTTCTCTGTGTGTTTCATTTATTATTACTATATCTTTCAGATTGCTTATCTTTTCTTCTGTGATGTCTAATCTGCTTTTAATTCTATCCAGTGTATTTTTATCTCATACTTTGCAACTTTCAACTCTAGCAGTTCAATTTATGTCCTTCTATATCTTTCATATCTCTGTTTAACAAGTTTTAACTTTACTTTTGTTTCTTGAACATATGGAATGCAGTATAGTAACTGTTTTAATGTTCTTATATACGAATTCTATCACCTGTGTCATTTTCTGTGTCAAGTTTTTGCAGCTTTCTTTAATCCCTGATCATTTTTGATTAGCTTCCAAACATTGTGAATTTTACCTTTTTAGGTGTTAGATATTTTTGTATTCGTATAAATATTTTTGTGCTTTGTTCTTAGATGCTTCTATACTACTTGAAAACAGTTTGAGCATTCTGGTCTTGCTGTTAAGCTTTATTAGGGGACAAAAGCAGCATTTAGTCTGGGGTTAATTTTTCCCCACTACTGAGGCATGACCCTTTTTAGAACTCTAATCTATGCCCTCAGCACTGAGAAGTTTTCTTTCTTGCCACTGGGAGCAGGCACTGTATCTCTCCTGCTGTCAGTTCTCTCTGATCCTTGAAACTGGTTGTTTTCTTGGCCTTGGGTAGTTTCTTCACTCTGTGCTGAACAGTATTCAGCTAAATACTCAAGGTGGATGCACAGCAGATCTTCATAGTTCTCACCACGGCATCCTCCCTCTCTGGTAATTTATTGTGTGAATTTTTGATACCTTGGCTTACCCAGACTCCTACCTTTGTCTCCTTAAATTAGAAAGACTTCTGATGTTTCCCTGGGTTCTCTCTCCCTGCACCATGGCCTGGGAACTTTACCCAAACAGTAAACTTGGGAAATTGTAATTTTCACCTATTTTGTTTCCCCTCTCTCAGGAATTATTATCCTTCATTACTTAGTGTCTAATGTCTTGAAAGTCATTGTTTCATATATTTTGTCTGCTTTTTTAGTTGCATCAGATGGGAAATTAAATCTAGTCCCTACTGCTCCATTTTGACGAGAACCTTAAGTTACATCCTTTTTCTTAGGTAGACTGGTCTGTGATTTTTGTTTTCTTATCTTGTTGTATGACTTTTTAAATCAAAGTTTTATTAGCCTCATAAAATAAATTGGGTAGACTTCCCTCTTTTTCTATTTTTCAGAACTATTTGTATAAGAGAGGGAATATCTCTTCTTCAGATGTTTAAAAATTTGGTAAGGTTTGACTATAAAACAAAGTCTGTGATCTGGGAGGGAGAGGAAGTTCCAGACTTGCAATTACTGATTCAATTTATTTAATGGTTGGTTTATTTAGTTTGTTCATTCCTTCTTATATCATTTATGTAATTTATATTTTTCTTGAAGATTATCCATTTATTAATGTTTCTAATATATTTGAAATTGTCACAGAAATTTTCTATGATCAAAAAAGTTACTATGTATATAATTATATTCACCTTTCATTCCTAATACTGTTTTTTATGACTTTTCTTTTTTAATATTAATCATTACTGTTAGAAGTTTATTTTCTGAGTATTTCTAAGTATTACCTTTTAATTTTGTTACTCTTCTTGCTTTTTGCTTGCAAGTTTATTATTTTCTGCTGTCATCTTTATTATATCCTTCTATTTATTTTTAGGTTCACTGTGCTTTTTCACTAGTTTTTATAATTTAGCTGAAATGACTTTCAATTATTTTCGATATATTTTGCTCTTAATAAATGCAGTAAGGACACTTGTATACTGTTTTAAAGTAGCATGTGTTTTCTCTGAACATTTTAAAGGACTTGTTCTTAATCACAAATTAACTGGAAAGTGAGTAGAATTATTGAATTTTAGACTTGGAAGCAACATTTGGGTCCCAATGTTTTTATTTCATTTTTATATTAGTTTTTTTTCAGGATTGCTGTCACAAATTACCACAAACTGTGGCTTAACATAATAGAAATATATTGTCTCACAGTTCTGGAGGCTAGAAGTAAAAAATCAAGGTGTCTGCAGGGCCATACTTCCTCCAAAACCGATAAGGAATCTTTCCTTGCCTCTCGGCCTCTGGTGGTGGCCAATCCTTGGAATTCCTTGGCCTGCAGCTATATCACTCTAATCTTGGCTTCTGTTTTCACGTGGGGTTCTCCATATGTGCCTGTCTTCACATTATGTTTTCCTCCTATAAGGACACCACTCACATTGGACTAGGATCTGCCCTAGTTACCTCATCTTAACTTGATTACATCTTAACTTGATTACAAAATAAGGTCCGTTCACAGGTGCCAAGGGTTAAGACTTTAACATATCTTTTGGGGGAGGGGGCTGGTCACAATTTAACCCATAACAAACAACATAACCCAAAACTGAGACCCAGAGAGGTTAAGGAACTTGCCCAAGGCCAAATAGTTTAATGACTATTACTTACTATTCAGATTTCCCTGCTCATAGGCTTTTCTCAGGTATTACAAGATGTGACCAATTTCGAGTACCTCAAAGGGGAGTTCCATGATAAATATGAACTTCTGGGAAATAAAAATCTTTGCTCATCCACGGGCTCCCAGGGCAGCCAGGAGTACCGGGAGAAAAAGGAGCTACAGGGAAGGTAACACTGCTTTTCATATTACTGGTGTAAAACTATTGAACCACACTGTATCCTGGTCCTGCAGAAGCTCAAATTAAACCATTTAAGACGAACTTAGTCTTTTCAAGAAAAAAAAATCCCACAACTCTTAATTTCCTTTTTCTCTTAGTTCAGATAAAAGAGCGCCAATTCAAAGCCTGAGTAGTAGCTCACACCCTCTGTCTTCTCTCTGGTATTTTGGCCATGGTATCCTCCAGTGACCTAGTCCCTTTGGGATTCCTAGAAAGCACTTTTATTTAAACTTACAGAAAAACACTTTTTTTTTTTTTTCCCTCCGAAAGGAGTCTGTAAATGCATTCAGGAAGTAAGGCTACTATAAAGATTTCCTGAAGTACTTTGAGTTGACATTTGAAATACTCATTTTTCAATATAAGTAGTGGAAAACAGCAGATGGAAAGGCTGAAGGTCTTTCTTGTTTTTTAAAAAAACAAACCACCAAATCTGAATCAAGAGCCAAAAGAAAGTGAGCTTATTGCTTTGGCAATTGGCTGGGAAATTGGACTTTTTCATGGTATTTCAGCTGCTCTGAGCTAAACTGGAGTTTGATATGAATTTATTCAAGTTGGTAAACTTCCAACTTAATTTTGAGACTAGAGTGAAGGTCTGGTCTGTACTGGAGGATTTCAGCAGAGACTACTGGCTGTAAGAAGAGACAAGGTGGGTGTGTACATACTGTCTAGGGAGGGTCAGCTAAGACATCAGTGCCATTTCCTCTAGGGAGAAGCGGGGCTTCCAGAAGCAAGAGACCCTGAAGGATCACCTGGAAAAGGACAACCTGGCCTCAAGGTATGGAATTGACAGTGGTAGGGGGAGGGAAGCAGACTGCCTGAGTTCTGGTCCTTATACTAAGGAGCCATCTTAGGAGAAATTTGATGTTATTCTTGCTATGTCAAAGGTGTTTACTTCTGGCTTAAAATTATGGATACCAGCTTTTGAACTTTCGTAATACAGCAAGTATGTATTATTCATTTTCATTTTCCTACCATCTGTCATTAAGTCCCAGCTTAGAGGAAGAGTTCAACACATTTTCTTAATAAACAGCCAAATTGACATTTAAAAAACACATAGTAAGGGAAAAGAAGACTTGAGATACATCAGTGAGACGTCAAAGTCCATAAATTTTTTTTCAAATATGTATATAATCTCACAGAGTAATAAGAAATATAACCTTATTAAGTGGTACTTTCACAACATGGAATATATTTATTTTATACATTGTAGAAGTGCTAGTTGAATAACATCTTTATATGTCAAGATGAAAATATCCAAATTCATCAATAAGACCATTAGTGACATTATCTATAGCCTCTAAGGTGTCAGATGTTCCTGCATTTCTTATGTGCGGTCATCAATGACCATATAAAGATTCTGAAGAATTATGTATGAGTAAAGTAAAAATAAAATCCATATACTTATTAGTGTTCTGTTTATAATTCTATTAAAATAGTAATTGATAGCTTAGATGTCTATGCCTTGAGAAAATATTGGCTAAAATTGAGTTGTTAACCTTAAATGTGAAAAACTGAAATATATTTGTAGAATTTCAAACATTTTAAATAATTGATTAACCAGACTCTGAGATCTATTTTTGGTGGGGTGGGAAGCAGGGAGTAAAAACATGAACAGAGAATCCCTTTTCAACATGATGCAAAAAATACTTTTAGAAATGATTGCCTATTAACATTCATGAGAACTAACATTTTCTTGAATATACTTTTGGAAAACAGACCCTTGGAGTTATAACTGAAGCCGTGGGAATGAATGATAGCTCTGAGAAAGAGAGCTAAAGTTTGAATCCCACATTTTACAGTAGCTGGAGCAAGAATATTCACAACAGCATGAAGATAGGCAGAATGCACAGTAGTACCATGTTAGAGAAACCAAGGAGAAAGGCTTTCAAGAGGAAAGCAATGGGTGGTGTCAAATAGACCAGCAGAGCAAGGAGAATATGCACTGCCTGGATTTGTGGCTTTAAGGTGATTCGGGGCTTACGGAAGGCTAATGGAGAAGAGTGGTAGGAATATGTTACATATCCAAGGTATGTTATGGTTCAGTGTTGGCACTTTTAATAATAGTTGGATTCTTACTGTTGGCTTCTGGGATGATTTAGGTCAATAGTTCAATTTGGTAGTTAATGGGAGAAAATAAATAGTTGTGGGTAGATTTCATTTCTGTTGGCATTAATAATGATACAATAAGTTATATTCAATATTTGGACATTCAACAGGTATTTTTTTAATTTCCTGTGTCACTACTCTCGATTAGTATGCATATTAGGGAGTTCTTGGCATGTCTGTGGATTCTACAGGTCACCTTTTCTTCTTAGTGAAGTGTCTGCATTGCCGATGAGCTTGGTATAGTCCGGTGGTTCTCAAGGTGCAGTCCCTGGAACAGCAGCACCTGAAGCTGCTGTCAGAAATGTAAATTATTGGGCCCCAATCCAGACCTATTAAATCAGAAACTCTGGATGTGGGCCCAGCAATCTCCAGGTGATTCTGATGCATGCTTAGGTTTGAAAACTGGAAAACTGTGGTAGAGTCATTTATGTCATATATATTGAATGGCCTCGGCTACAAACCCCGAGGAGTTCTTTTACCGAGCTAGGCACAAACTTAGGTATGGTGCCTTGCAGTTGAACCCTAGTGTAAGGATAGTTCTGGAATTCTCTGAGGCTTCTGGCTGAAGGTAATACAATTCTTTGGGGGTAGCATTTGTGTACACAACCCTGCTGGGGAACACTAGGCAATTTCTAGCTCTGCACCAGGTTAATGCTCACTCATCTTTCTACCAGTTGAATTATTGGCCTCCTTTGGGAGAAAGAACTAGACTCTCCGATGAGGAAGAAACAAGGCTGGATTTTTAAAATGTCTTATTTTATGTTTTAAAACTGAAATAGCACAGAAGCTGAAAAACAGCATGACAAATCATTTCTTTTCCGAAACTGACTGTCTGAAAATCATCTGTTAATAGACCAAGGGGGCAAAAAAACTGTAAAGTCAAATCGAAGGCCCCAAAGGAAGATACTGAACATAGAGTTTAGAAAATACTAAATCATACTGAATAAATGAAGACTGAACAATTCTGAAGTCATCCAATCTGCTCAGGAACATCGACAAACCCTGTGCAGCTGAGCTGGGCTTGGGGAACATCACTTTAAAGTAGGTATTCATTGAGAATCTGGCCATGATATAACATTAAGGAGGGTCTGTTCATAGAACACCTATATTTTTATTATAATTTGTGTCAGGGTGATGGAGGAAAGAAAGGGAGCAAAGGAAATCAAGGACAGAGGGGATTTCCAGGGCCCGAAGGACCGAAGGTATGTTTCTTATGTTCTCATTTATGCTTTGGGGAGATTGTAATTGTGCCTGGTTTTAATGGAATATTAGATTTCCACTGTTTTCCTCTCAACAAATACAAAACAAAAGCCCCCAAATGAAAAAGGCTTTAGAAACCACACTATTTCAGACCATAATAGAATGGAATAAAGAGATTGCATAAAACATGTGATCTTCATTGAAATATTTATTCTGCTAGGAGAGAATCTGTGTGTCAGTCCTCTCTAGTAACAGCAAAATATTCAGTAGTTGGGATAAAGTTAGGACCATAGAAGGTATCAATTCTCTATCATCTTGTTTCGTGGAATAAGAACAAAAAAGTCCCAGACTGAGGGCTTCCCTGGTGGCGCAGTGGTTGAGAGTCCGCCTGCCGATGCAGGGGACACGGGTTCGTGCCCCGGTCCGGGAAGATCCCACATGCTGCGTAGCAGCTGGGCCCGTGAGCCATGGCCGCTGGGCCTGCACGTCAGGAGCCTGTGCTCCATAGCGGGAGAGGCCACAGTAGTGAGAGGCCCACGTACCGCAAAACAAACAAACAAACAAACAAACAAAAGAAGTCCCAGACTGAGCGGCAATGCAGTAAAGGATGAAGAGCAGTGCTTCAGAAGGCAGGAGAGTGGGGTTCTCGTCCTGCCCCAGCCCGGAACTTTTGGGGGCTAGTCAACTTCAATCGTAGAAGGAAAAGAGTAATAGTGTCTATTTCACAGGGTTGTTGTGAAGACCTAAAAGAGTGAATAAAGAACTCAGCATGGTTCCTGGCACATTGTAAGTGTTCAATACATGGAGTTATTCAGACAGGAAAAAATCAATATGTGAAATGGAAAGTAGGGCATATATGTCCTGATAAACTGCCCGAGACAGGGTGCTGAGGAAGAAGTAAGGAAATTGTGAAGCAAGAAATTAGATACGTGTCCTGACTAAGCAGGAGAGAATATTGAGGTCATCTGGATGTGTTCAGGGCTCTAGGAAGATGCTAATTGTAAGAAAGAAACAGGGAGTCTGTTCAAGGACCAGACTATTAAAGAACAACTAAAAACAAAAAGGGTACCAGCAAGATACCAGCAGGTACAAAAAAAAAAAGGCATCCCCTATAGACCAGTAATTCTTAAACTTCCGTGTCATCAGTATTGCCTGGGAGCTTGTTACAAACCCCTATTTCTTGGTGCCATGCCTAGAGATCTGGATTTAGTATGTGGGTGGGTCCCAAGAATCTGCACTTCCTAAATAAGTGTCTTCTGCCGCAGGTAGTTCAAGGAGCACATGGTGAGAAAAGCCATTGTATAGGAAATGTGTTGGATTAGTATTAACAACAGTGATTACTCTATGTCTTAGTTACGCTGACTCAACGTGAATATTTTTCTGTATTTTGAAAGAAAGTTTTTTCTGATAAAGAATTGCCATATTTCAAAACATACACCTAAATAAGGGTCTTTAAAAGAACTGCATACTTTCTATGTATACAGTTTTGTATTTAAAAGTAATTGGCTTCTCTTAAAAAAAGAAGAATAGATTAAATCTAGAAGCATAATTTTGCTTCATCTGGTTTTAGTGAATATTTTAACAGGTTAATGTTTTATCCCTTTGCCATGGGATTGAATAGGGTGGTTATCTGTTGCCAGAACCCTGGCCATGTCCTGTGCCATTGCCATACAGGTTTGGAATTAAGGACTGGCACATACAGGCCTCGGCATCACTTGGCCCCAGCGGCCAGTGTGCTCAGCCTGTTGGTCGTATAATGGAATCAGCACAGTGGGAGGCCTCAGCTGTGAAGATGGAGGTGGCTCAGGGCAGGAGTCATCACCAGTGAGTCTGACTGATAGAGTCCCTCCTGGAGGAAGGAGGAGGACCAAATAGTCAATTCTGTAAGGCAGGAGGAGGCCAATTTTTTGGTAAAGGTACAGTGAGCAAATATTTTTGGCTTTTTGGGCCAAGAAGCAAAATTGAGGATATTATGTGGGCACCTATTTAACAATCATTCAAAAATGTGAAAACCATTTTTAAATGATCGTTATATAGGTGCTGTACAGTAGAAATTAACGCAACATTATAAATCAAACATACTTCAGTAAAATAAGTTAAAAAACGAAAGACAATTGCTTTGCACAGTGTTTTAAAGTGCAGTAGTGGTACTTAGAATCACCAGAGGTGCCTCATAAATATTCATATTCCTGGGCCCAGCCCCTAGACCTATTGAAATAAAATCTTCAGGGCTGAAATCCTGGACCCTATCTTTTACCAGATTTCTCTAATGATTTCTCTGTTCCCTAAAATTTGAAAATCACTGATCTAGAACCAGGTAGGACAGAGACATTGCTTGTTGTTCCAGACTGAGTCTTTATTGAGACTCATACTGAGACAAAAAAAAAAGAGAGAGAAATGTTTTGATTTTCCTGTTCAAAATTTCATTTTTTTAAACCATAAACTCTCTACTTTTAATAAGGGACGTGAGATACCACACAATGGAAGACTGATATACTGTGGACCATAAAATAAAATAACAAAGGAAAAAGTTATAAACTAGAAGGAACATTATTTACCTACCAAGTGTACTCAAAAACTTACACTAAAGGTATTTGTTATAATGGAACAAATATTTCCCTCTGAGCTTCCTGGCATACAAATACAAAAGTAAGTCACCACGAATTACATGATTTTTATTAGCTAATAAAAGGATGCACAAGAGAGAGAAATTTCCTATTACTCAAGAATTAACTGAATGCATTTATTAAAGGGAGTGAAATTTTAACCATCAATAACTTAAGTAGTGGTTTAACAAAGATGTTCAAATATTTTCACATCGGTCTGTGAAATAGGTCACAATACTTTAAAATGCTAGAAATACATTTTTATATTTTTTAATATAATTCCTGTATATGGTTTCCTTGTTTGACATGTAATGAGTAGTTTGCTCTTTTTTTAGGGTGATCCAGGGATTATGAGCCCTTTTGGGATGCCTGGAACATCAATTCCTGGACCACCCGGGCCAAAGGTATGCATTCTCGGGAATAGTTTTTTTCTTTTACTTGGGTCTTTGGCAGTTGGAGTGGGGAAAAGATTCATGAAACCAGTGAACTAGAATTTCAGTTTTGGAAGAAACCAAAGATATCATATAGCTCAACCCTGATATTTCACAATTAAGCAGATGAAAGGCCAGCAGCAAATTTAAGATTAGAAACCAGATTTCTTGCTCCTGGTCTTGAACTTGTCACTTTACCTTGAACTACCTCCCTTAAATACCTAGACCCTAAAGCATGTAAGAATTTATTGCATTTGTTCAGAATAATCTGCTAATCAGAAAGTCTGGCAGAAAAGAAATCCACTCAGATGTAAGAGCATTCCTGGATGTTTTCACAGTCTAAATATTTGAGTCTAGAGAGCCACCTATTATTTCAGTGGCCTTTCTCTGAACAGTTTAGTAGTCTTTACTGATAGTTTTTATTTGCTTAAGATTTGAAACTCCCCTCAAATACATTAGAAGATGTACTCTCTCAGGATCTGATTCTAATAGATTAAGCCCTTTATAATTGGCCAATGGCTTTTTTGCTCTGTGCCATTATGGTTTCTCATAAAATCTAAAGCCTGAAACTGTGAACATTATTTGAAAGGTACAGGGAGATAGAGGAGGACCTGGGTTTCCTGGATTTAAAGGAGAACCTGGAATTGCTATTCGAGCACCAAAGGTATCCTTTATTCATGTTCTTTTGTTTTGTTTTGTTTTTTTCCTGTATGTGAGAGAAGTGACAGTAGATTTAATGCATCATAAGTGGATGACTGTGATTGTTCTACTTGAAGTCTCTACGTTGATGAACTGAAATGTAAGAATACACTATTCCCTTTTTAAAAAATCAAGCTAGCAGATCATTTATTTTTCATAAACGTGGGGGAGGATAGCTCCTCTGGTAAAATGTTTGCTGACTAAACAGTTGATTGAAAATGCTTTTTGTAATATCTTTGATATGAGATTATATGGCCTCCAGCCTCCTTCATTTACTATTAATGGCCAACGTATCTCTTCTATAAAACATTGTCCAAAAAGTTCGTGTTTGGAAACTTTACTGAATCAGATTTCCCTGCTTTGTTGTCCATCTTTCAGAGTTATTTCAAATGAAAATGCAAATAATTATAGAAGACAGCTTTTAGTAATCAACACTTTTTTTCCATGGCAACAAAGTACCATTTCCCTCCTCACATAAAACCCAGCATCAAGCAAAATTCTACATTCCAAATGTCAACAAGCACATCCCTGTTTATGAGAACAGGCTTTAGGGCTCCATAATCAGCTCTTATTAAATTAGTAGCATGTTGTTATGTAGCTTTGAAGCTGGCTTTAGTTTATCAGATTGTCTCTTCTAGATGAAAGGGTTCAAGTACTAACGTCAGTGATTTTCAAACTTCAAAAAAGAAAACTTAGAACCATCTTTGAAATATAATGCAAAACCTATTATATACTGACATAAGTTGGAGTGGTTCTTTTTGAAGGCTGAGGTAAGATCCTGACCTCTGCTGTTCTTAATCACTTTAAGAGTCCTCCTTCCTAGAGTGATAATCTTCTGGCTTATTTGAGGCAGAAGAGGTTTCCAGGATGTGGCATTTTCAAGCTAAAACAGAGAATGTCCTGGGCAAACCAGAACAAGATGGTCATCCTACTGCCCAGACTCTGAGGCACAAAGGAACCCAAGATGTGTAAAAATTCTATGGAAAACCAAGTTATGTATGACTCAAGGAAAAAATTCCAAATTTCCTAATGCTAAAACTACAGATATGACCTCAATCAAGAACATTTGCGTGACATTTTCATATTGTTTGATAACTTCCTGAATCTGTGTATTTCTAGGTCCGTGATTTAAAGTTACTTCTCTCTACTTATACTATTCTTTACGATAGAAATAAAATCTAATTAAATGTGCAGCCGGTGTTTAAAAGCTCCACCTGTTTTCTACTGATCATTATTAGGCATCGTTGGTGATAGTATTTAAAGTTATTTGCCTCTTCAATCAATTTTCTAATCCCTTGGCCTCTAATGATACTCTTTCTGCCATTCTTCCCTAATGCATTGGTTTTTAAGCTCTTGGAGGGTTAAATGTCTGATAAAAGTTTTGGCACGTTAAATTCAGTTTTGTCTATCACTTCAGGGGCCTCCCAGGTTGTTTTGAAAGCCCATTTCAAAACACCTGATTACGATTTCTACCCTAATTTCTGTTGAATGAGAGAGACACTTGTGAATCACTCTGCAAGACATTTTCTTGAATCCAATGCAGAAAGACCAAGTGGCAAAATTCCATCCATAGAAATACTGTGAGGCATCCAAAATAAAGATCTAAGCAAGAACACTGCCCTTTCCCCACCCCCATTAGCATCAGAAGCAACAAGCTAACTGAAATTTTTGTAGGAGAGAGGACAAAGATCCCCAGGAAAAAAAATGTTCAAAAACTATGAATGTTTCAATGGCTTTCCCCCCACTCTGGGTGCCAGAGGATAAACAGTAACAGCTGCTGATAATGTGTTATAGGCTTGGAACTTAGAAATGAAAACTGAAAGTGAATTTTGTTACCAATTTTTTTCCTTTCAACTTAACCAGGGAGCAGTCACTGCTTTGTTTCGTTGCTGGCCTGCTCCTTATGTAAGCATGCAGAGAAATGGGCATCTTATTTTAGGACCTGTCCCATAGAAAACGTTTAGCATTTTAACCTTAAACATAATTGGAATAGGATAATAAATTGCTTCTGAGAAGCGACCAGTTCCTTAGTGGGGAATACACCAAAATTCACCTCTCCAGAACAATTTGTTTTTTCTGTCATACAACTTTAAGAGATCACCTTGGGTTTTTGTCGATGATAAATAGTACCTTAAGTGTTTATAAGTGGCCACATGTTTTCTGAAGATCATTCTTAAGAACGTTAACCACATAAAGCCAGTCTCTTTGTTTTAATAGGAAATAACAGCTATTGCACTCATGATTTTCAAACTCAATTTAACTTTCTTATTGCTTAAATGGACTGAAGAATTTTTTTCCCCTGTCATTCATTCATAGGAGTAGAATCAGGGGCAGTTTTGGGGAGTTAGATTTTGGGCAACACTTTGGCTTGGAATAATGGCAGTTTGATTTCAGTGTTTGCTTGCACATAAAACAAATATTAAGAATCCTGATACTTCTTCCAATCTTGGAAAACAAAGGTCTATTAGTAGAGTTTCCTCCTAATGTGGAAAAACATAAATATTTAAAAACATGAACAGCTCTTTATCAAAATAATTGACAAGAGTTGTAAGAGTTATTGTAAGAGTTGTAAGAGTTATCACAGCAACAGAACGGAATGTGGTATAAATAGAAATGTTTTAAATATAAGTGTAGTAGACTTACAATTAATAACTTTGGTAAAAGTCTTCCTCTTTTTCTCTTTTTCTACATTTTAATTTAGCCAGAAATTTCTCCGAGTTCTATTTGTACAGAGAACTCTAATGTTCAAAAGGCAACAATTCTCCTTCCCTATCCTCTATATAGGAGGTCAGTAGTTGCTACTAAAAGTTTTAGATGCCCAAGGTCATCACGGTAAAGTAGTATTTATAACTTTTTCCTAGGTCTCAGGATATGAACCGCAAACTCTATGTCCTATTCTTTTATAAAGTGTTTTTTAAAAATTAATCTGTTTTTAATTTTTATTTGAGCTTATTTATTCCTCACCTAGTTTGGGCGCCATTGAGGAAGATAATAGATGTAACGTAATAATAGGTAACCTACAGTATCTTATTTTATACTTAAACTTTTACTACATATTCCCCTCTATTCTTCTCAAATGATGCTTACTAAATTTTCTCATTTTATACTTCCTGATTTATGATGCATTAAAAATTGGTAATTTTTAAAATTGTCAGCAACTAGCCCTTTTCTAATGCCCATGAAGTGTGTTTCCTATAGAGGACCTTGTAATGGTTCATATATATTTCCTACACTCATTCCATGGGTAAGACTTATGAGGAGATAAGGAGTTGCCATATTTCCTTCTAAAATTTTTCAAACCGTTCCTTTGCACTTATCAAATCCACCTCTGGCATGTTGAGTTGGTTTTGTGCTTAAGTTTTGCCAAGTGTCTCATAGTTTAGTCTTATGATATCTCCTGGTGTTGGAATTTACCCAGGGTGCCCAAGGCGCTCGGGGACCAGTGGGCGCTCCAGGACTCAAAGGTGACAGCTATCCTGGTGTGGCTGTAAGTGTGGACATTGCTTTTATTTCCTTCCTTCCTCTCTCTCTCTTTTCCACCTTTCCTCCTTCCTCCCTTCCCTTTCCTTCCCTTCCTTTCATCCCTCCCCCTCTCCTTTCCTCCCTCTCTCTCTCCCTTCCTCCCTTTTCTTTTCTTTTTTCTTTCTCCCTCCTTCCTTTCCTTTCCTTTCATCCCTTCCTTCCTTCCTTCCTGAACACTGCACACAACAAGGTTGCTCCAAGGTTGTTCCCTCTCTCCCTTATTATGTCATCCCAGGGTCCTCGAGGATTACCAGGACCCCCTGGACCAAGGGTTTTACATAGAGCGGGAGACACTGAAGCAAAGGTAAGACTTTAAAGTAGGTAACAGTAGCTTTTAAAAATGTACCTTTAGTTTGGGAAAGGTGAAAATCTTTATCAGACATGATAGAAGAGGAGAAGCATCTACAGAATTGATCAAGTTATTCTTCCTCAACTATGGACTTCCTGGACCTTGTACTCACTTGAACATGTAGATTAACTTTATGGTTTTTGGTAGCAACCCTCACATTCCTTTGCTGCCTTGTCTTCCTGTACCAAGAACAGACTTTGGTTCAGATCCCTCCCCTCTCTGGCCATGCCCCTGCCTAAGTGCTCTCATTCAATACCATGGCTTTAACCACTATCGGTGCACTGATGGCCTCCAAGTTTCTATCTCCCTCCCCTAAGCCCTGCTTTCACACGTCTAGTTTCTTACCATACATCTCCTCTTAGATTTCTCACAGACAACTCTAACCTCACATCCAAAAGAAAGCCTTTGATTTTCACTCCATGAGCCTGGAAATGGGGCTACCAAGCACCCTTTGCTCATGCCATGATACCTGAGTCATTCTTGGTCCTTCCTTTCCCTCTCTTCCCTCCCCGTGTAGGCCTATGGTAAATCCCGTCAGTTCTACCTTCAAAATATATCTTGCTTCTGGCTGCTTTTCTCCTGCTGCTTCCATCAGGCAGCCCACCATTATCTCTCACCTGGGCTATTCAAACCTCTTCATTGGTCTTCCCTCTTCCACCTCTGCCCTTCTATTACCTAGTAGGCAAATTGATCTTTTAAAACCATAAATCAGATCACATCCCTTTCCTTCTCAAAAAAACTCTCTAATGGCTTCTCTTTGTACAGAGAACAAACTCCAAGCACTTTCCATGGCCTCCGGGGCCCTTCACAGCTTGGCTGCCGCTCCCGCCCCTTGCTCCCTTGCTGCCCACCTCTAGCCACACTGGCCTGCCCTCCTTCAGCTCATTCCTGCTTCCAGACCTCGGCTTTGTCAGGAGAGCTCCTTCTTCAGGTCTCAAATCTTGCCTCCCTGTCCACTATACAAAAGGCAATCCTGTCTCCCCACCCCCAACACTGTCACGTCCCCCCGTGTGTTTCTTCCATAGCACGCAGCATTTCTGAAATCATCTTGCTTATCTACTGCTCTGCATACTTCACAAGAGTATAAATTTTCCTGCAGGCCGGCTCTTTGTCGTACTGAATTCTTGGTACCAGAACTAGATGTGCTACCCAGTAGGAACTCTATAACATGTTGAATGAATGGAAAATGAATAATCAGTGTTACCCTACAGAGTGAAATTCTCCTTAGAAATATACCTACTCACTTAGTTTTTCAAATGCTTCCAGGTCATTAGAGAAAGAGGTTGTAAGTGCCTGATGTCAACTTTTTGTCTTGAGTTCTTGGCCTCTGCCCCAGCACTTGGGAGTGTTGACACCTTGATACTGCTTCTGTATAGTGCGGCAAGTACCCTTTTGGCCTCTCCCAGGTAGAATGAAAGACTAGAGACCCATCGCACTCAATTCATCTCTAAAGGAGATCTTGATTCCTGCCCATCTCTGCGTGTTAGGGTAATCAGGAAGGTCAGGGAGACGTGTCTAAAAGTGCTGAGTAGGCTGTGCTGAGGACAGACACCCTATAGGAGCTTTTGTCAAGGTTCTGGCTTGCCTGACTCAGGACAGAATCTGATCCTCATTTGAATTTGGGGATTGAAATATTCTTTTATCTTTAAGGCAAAGTGTCTGTCACAATGTTAAAATTTAAAAATAGAAAGAGGAGCTTCAATATGTAAACCGCATTACTTTCTGCTGAGCAAATCACTGGTAAAAACTTTTGTTTTTACACTAAACATTCCTTTAGTTGTGGAACTAGAAGCTTATTCCTGTTCAGAAGAAGGCCTGTGTTAAATATACTGGAATGCATTTGTATTCCAATGGAAGCATGTAACCATTTACATTTCCACAGATTATTATAAATATTTTATATAAGTATACATTGTATTATATTAAATTATACCATTGCATTACTGCTTTACATTTAGCAGTAATAATAAAGACGGGCACTTAAGCACAGAGATGAGCACTTAAAAATTTGACTGTTGTGCATGTTACACCATGTCAGGTTATTTAACATGCAGACTAAACATTTACTAAATGAGTTCGTTTATCATTTCCCTCTAAAAGTCTCTTGTATTTTTTTCATACACATTTTAAGGGGAAAAATCACAGGAAAAAAGAATGTTCTTTCAAAATTTTATCCTGCCTATTTTCTATTGTTGTTAACAGTCAGCATGTTGCCAGAAGATGTCTTAAGCGAAACTCATATTCCCTCTGCTAACTCACACAGGAGGCTGAGTGGAAGCAGTAGCCTCCAGCTCACGTCTACTGAGGGGAGATGGGAACACAAGCGAGGACCTGCCTCCATCCCGCTGCCTTCTCCTCCTCTCTGTCGCCCCTTCCTGTGGATGCTGGGAAAATGCATTACCCTGGCCCTCTCTAGCCCTGGAAGGAGATGTCAAGAGTGCAAGCTAGTCTTAGAATCAAAGAACCTGTGGATCATGAACTTGAAAATAAAGGAAATTCCAAAAGCAAACACCAGCTTTTAATAACTTTCAAAATCACCTCTCTTCTTTTATAGAAGGCTTAGAGACTTTATGGACCCTTTTTCATTTTTTTTTTTCCTGAAGAAAACTTTTGGACACACACACAAGCACACACAGCCCCACAGAAGCTGGTAAAGAAAGGGAAATATTTGGAAAAGTCTAATTCCACTTAACTTTGTCCTTTTGGTTTGGTAAAGTGGAGGTGAGACTCTCAAAAAACCTAAGGTTGCCAATGGTAGCAAAAGCACAGGACTCAAATGTGTGCAAAATTCCCCTTCTTCCATTTTTTCTTAAAATGGCAGAGAAATTGTAAGTGCATGGAAATGTGTGGGTTTGGTGCATGCACACACACGTGTGTGTAATTGTATAGGCATATATATCAGACATGTTTCTTATTTAAATTCTGTGTTGTCACCTTAAAATATTGGCCTTAGGGCATTAACTTACAAAACAAATGTGTTTTGAAATGAGGAAACCGTTAAGGTTGACGATTAATTTATGGTGGGTTTTGCGATATTTAGTTAAGGTCACATGTGTTTAGCATTTGACACAGACATTAGAATCAAAGCTTCTATGTTTCAAAACATATAAAAAACAGTCCCTGACATCTTGCACCCTTGTGGCACTCCATGGCTTTTTACCAAGTGGAAGAATTCCATGATGACATCAGTGGTTACAGTACTTCTCTATACACTTCCCTTGAATGGATGTAATCCAAATTTTGACAAGGGCTTCTGAGAGATTTCTAAAATTCTTGTAAAAACTACAATTTCCAAGGAGATAGTAGATACAGTTTTAAAATCTTTTTTTTTTTTTTAGTTTTTTGGCCGCACCGCAGGGCATGCGGGATCTTAGTTCCCTGACCAGGGATGCAACCCATGCCCCCTGCAGGGGAAGTGTGGAGTCTTAACCACTGGACCACCAGGGAAGTCCCTAAAATCTACTTTGGAAACATGCCAGAAAGAGGAACTGACAATTCAGGTTTTTTTTGCTAAGTTGGAAGTGCTCATCCAGTTCCCTGAACCTTGACCCAAATCGTCTGCACGACGATGGGGAGGGCAAGCTCAAAGATTCTACCTAACACTGCTGCCATTTCTCTACTGGGCCCAGAAAGACTAGAAGGACCCTTTGTGATTTGGGGACCATCATTATATAAATCTCATCTCCCTTTGAGAAGCCCAGATGATTCTTTGCTTCTGTAGTTTCACCCCCATAGGCTAGTGAATCACCCCAGGGCTGATTCACTGACATCTCTGAGGGTGAGAGTTTATTCCTGGCCTCCTGGAAGAGAACTACAAGGAGTGGCTCTCCTGAGCTCCAGAAGGGCAGGAGCATCTTGCCAGGCACCTCTCCCAGCTCTTTCAGCCCCCATCAGTGTGCTAGCTCATCACAGAGAAAGCCAAGGCCTTCTCCAAAGCTTTGCGGCAGTAGAGCTTAGGCCAGTTCTTGCAAAGAGGAACTTTAAGCTGGCTTTGGAGCCCTCAAGGGACCTTTTAACCATAAAGTGGTTAGAATAAAGTCTGGGCAGAAACGGCTTGTTGCGTTGCTATTGTTGTTATCATGATTGTATACTACCTAAATATTTCCAGAATCTCATGGCATTTTTAACAACTCTCTGATTTTATAGATAAGGAAATCAAGAGCCAGAGAGATTGAACAACTTGCCCCTTTACAATATAAACAGTGTTGATACTATATTGTGTTGAGTGTGAGAGGGAGTCTATAAATATGGATGAATGAATGAAAAACTAAGTGCATGAATAAATCAGAGCAGGTAGAATGACTTGTCCTGATCTACAGATGCTCGGTCTTCAATACTGTCCATTTTCCAACTACCTCGGCACTGTTTAGTGTACAGTTAGATTGTTTCTCTTTCCATTCTAGTTTTTCCATTGTCAAAACTTAAATTACATAAACATTAAGCAGAAGCATAAACCTGAAACCCAAAGAGTTAAACATTTTCCAAAAGCTTTAAATGTTTGAATATTATAAATACATGCTTTATTTGACAAAGGTGACCCATACTCATAAATTAAAATGGAAGTCTATGTGAAATTCCACTGAGTATCATTATTCTAAAAATGTTCCCAGCATCTGAATCGCCCCTCTGTTCTCTGCAATGGCTCACATATGTGCACACCACCAACAGGCAGTGGTGGAACAGAGGAGCGATTCACACAGAGATGCATTAGGAATTTGTGGATTCCACTGGCAGACACAGACTGGATAAGGAACTCCATTTTGAACTGTGTCTGACAAGGAGGGCTGGCCTAGGATACAGACTTAATGCTAGTAAAGTTGAGGGTCCATGATTCCAAATTGGAGTTGAAGAAACCCACCTTTTATAATATGACTGCAAGATTGCTACAAGCAGGATAATCAGCTTGAAAACAGGACTAATTAAAGCCAGAGCCATATCAAGTTTAAATACCAGGC